AGATCATGCAATTAATATATATAAAGCCTTTAACTAATGAGGGTGAAAATTCAATATGTATCATTGTTATTATACCTCCAATCTTTGCTATAATGATTTTTAAAATAAATTTTGTGAACTTTTATGGTAGTCTAACATATAGTAATGAGGATTTGGGCTGAATTCTGTAGTTTTTCCTTTATTTTGTAATATGGACACAAATTACTCAGTACCATATTGTGAAAATATTATATGAACAGCATAGGCATTATTCTAACAGTCACATTTTTGCTGAAGATCTGGAAACACCTGCCATAATTATAAGACTCTTCAGATGTAGTAAATTGTGAAAATTTTTGTCGTGAGTGCATGATCCAAAAATATCCGAAAGTTAAAGGGAAATATTTTCAAGTTGCATACCAACAGATGCACAATTTCACAGCAGAGGTTGTAAAACCCAGGGCTGTATTGTTTTATGATGAGTGCAGCCTTGAAATGGGAGGACATTGTAGTATACAGACCTCATTTTTTTTTCCCCTCTGTTTTCGGTTGTAAATGTTGCGGATCCAGGTTTGGACTTCCTGTTGTCAGGTCAGACAACTAGGTGCAATATGTGCCAACTGGTATATCGGGATCAGGTGCATTGACAGGGATTTATCAAGGTTGTTTTTACTACCGGTAAACGGTACCTTTCCCCTCTTGAAAAAGGTGGAAAAATTACCCTTTTTCAGATAGAAAATTCTGCGATTAAACGGAGAATATTGAAAACATTGTACTGAAATTTTTCGTTTTTGTTTGATTGAAGTTTAACAGCATATCCTAACTCCCCATCGTAGTCATTCAAACGCTTTTAAAAGAGAGAGTAGATTATTCAAGCTTCCATTTGATATTGATCGGTAAACATTTGCCCTGTCCATGATGTCGAAATATACGTATGCAGAGTTAAGAAAAGTGTAGATGAGTAAGATGGAGCTTAAATCACTATGAATCAGAAGAATGGAGTAACAACAAAAACAATGTTAGTAGTGAAACATGAAAAACCGAATTGATTTGCGATAGATATTGAGAGAAAAAAATTAAATAAAGTATTGACCTGGTTTAAATTTTTTTGTTATTTAATATTTTGTCTCAAAAGTGAAGTTTTTGTGGCCTTTGTAAAGGTCTACAAATGACCCTCAGAAGCTCTAAGAATGCAGGATTTTGCTCCATTTATTTAAAAATTTTCCGGGGGGGCATGCCCCCGGACCCCCTTAGAATATTTCGCGCCTCCGGCGCTCAGATCGAGCCTGCGGCTCTCATTTTTCCCCTTTACATATAAAATGGTAGTAAAACAAAATAGCTAGATAAATCCCTGATTGATAAGTTTTATGTAATTGGAGGAACAATTTGCATCATCAGCAGTTTGTTCTAGAGGATTAGAATGAAAACGTTACTTAATTCTTTTATGTTCCAACTCCACGTGAGCCATTTGTCTTGTGTTTTAGCGCTAAGACTTAATGGAATCAGTGTTTTCAATAAGAGCCGGCAACCGGCAAAATTGACCGCCTGTACGAGAAATTTTGCCGGCTATGAAATTTCCGTCATACATGAAATCCATAGATTTTATCGCAACTATTTCCATGATCTGGAGTAGCTTCCCTTGAGTGCGCTCTTTTTTCAATGAAGTTTGATTAGATCGATAGTGTCATGTAATGGCGTCGCGGACAACGAATATTTGAACGAAGTCATGGAGAAACGTGCTGGTTCTGTAACACATGCGTTTGATATCACATAACTTAAGAGGCATAAAGCATGGCCCCTTTCGAAAAGACATGTTTGTTTTTATAATTTTCGAATTGATTGTGCGACAGCCTCAATATTAAGTGAGGGGTTCCCCGGAGAAACAACAGCAAATATCTATATCTAGGCCAATATAATTTTAAGACCTTACTAAAAATATATGAATTCTTACAGAATTTCCTCAGAATGACAATATCAAATGTTAATCCAAGACGTGACTCAGACTAGAAATTCTTCCAGAATTTCCTTAAATGAAAATGCAAAATTTTCATGTAAGATCTCTTGAAATACAGGGACAGTATCGTTTTCACATTAGGGAAGGTTTCAATGTACTAGTATTTTGTATCAAATTCCATTTTCTTAATTATTTTGTTCTGACAATCTGTACAAAATGTCAAAAAATTAAATCAGTTTATAATTTATTTTATGAAAACTCTAAGATTACAGAATATTAGAATTTTTATGGGGTACTGTATGTCATCAAATTTTAAATTTTTAACTAAATTTTTTTTTTAAATATGAATAAAAGTCCTGACCAATTTAAGTGAAAGGGGATGAATATGTAGAATTTTCAGTATAATATTTTACCCATACAATTGTCTGTACTATAATTTCATACTTCAGTTGTCTATATGTTTTTATAGACATATAGATATATTTTCAGAAGAAAAAAAAACCCAGTCTGTCAAAAATCTGTCAAACAAATCTGTGAAAAAGGCAAAAATTGTTTTTCTAATTGGCTTTTTCTAGGTAAAACTTGATTATTGATAGTGACAGAAATGTGAAAAAAAAAGTGCTTTTCAATGGCCTGAGAGGTAAGAAAAGTGAGTCAAAAATGCTGAATTTCGTTTTCGGCCGGGGGCCTTCGCCCCCCTGGGCCCCCTACCAGGGCTCTGCCCTGGACCCGCTGGGGGCCTAATTGCCGCGACTGGTTTCCTGCTATTCCTTCTATTTTTCCTTCTATTGAAAATCTTATTGAAAACACTGGGAATACATTTCATAAGTTTGTTGCTATAGGTCAAGGTTAATGATACTGAATGTGACAATGTGTATTATTTTGCAAATATGTAATATTAAGGGGAAAACAATGCCATCTTATTAATGAGCTAATGGTTAATTGCTTTGTTATCCTTTGCTCCTTTTTCTGTTTGTCGATACTACAAGTTTGGGCTTTATTGATCAATTCTATGGTACAGGTTTCTGTAACTTGTTGAATGTCACAAAATTTCTTTCCTATCTTTTATCAGAGTGTAAAAATCTGTTATCAAAGAAAGGAATTGCCCTTGTTGCATTTAAAGAAAGAGTTATTGACCATCAAAATGACTGGAAGTAATGCTTGCGAATCGTTTTCAGTTAGAAGCCATATGGGTGTTACAGTCAAATCAGTAATTGAATGTTTTTTTGCTGGTGTGGTAATTGCCACACAGATCACAAATCCTGATAAGCAAAAAAGAACCCATTGTATGCCTGTGAAACAAATTCCTTGTCTTTATGCATGGCTCTTTAATCACTGGGGTGTTATCTGATATTTTGTCAAATCACGATTCGGAATTATAAATTGACCTAAGAGGGGTGTAAAGTCTTTCTACCTGGTTTGTTTGTTTTTCCTAGGAACAAACACCTGAGATAGATTTTAAAATTCTTTGCCGAAAAAATTCAATACACACTAGAGGCACTAGACATTAAAACGTTACCACCCCCCAGGGGCGGCTAGAAGGAGAGACCTGTTTTGACCTTGTTTTTGATGAGTCACTCACTGCGGATAGGCTGAGGGCTCTCTTTACTATCAACCTGTACAACTTCTTGTAGTACATCGTTTTTATCGGGGGACACCTCCAGCACTCTTGGCATGGGAAGTCTGTGTGGGGTCTCCTCCTGTCCTAGCCTCTCAGAGTGGCAGCTCTCTTAGAATGGTCTATACACCAGGTAGGATGTTATTAATTTCTTCAGAGCTCTTTCTTTCAAATTCTCCATCTCTCTCTCTCTCTTTTTACTGAAATGGCAAAACATGGCTAAGGAGGGCTTTGGTAGATGTAAAACTTTAAAACCATGTTGCAATCTGTAAAATTCTTGAACTGTTGTAGTCTTGCAGTTGAACCTTGGTTTTCGGCACAGAAATATTGCTCTTGGCAGTGGTGTATTAGTTGTTAAATCAAGGTAAAATTATGTGTATGACTGCAGGGTATAAACGGGCTATCTTGCTTATTCAGCTATATCGTTGTGTAATGAGCACTCCATAAAGTTTTCATTCACAAATACACATTTCCCTGGGTCGCTGTAAGGTCCATCCTTTATGTTGTGTGGATGACAACAAATTAATGGCCTTTATTTCTCTCCTTGGTGTACTTGACACAAGCCTGACATAAACACTTAGAACCACCACTCTAACTGATAAACATCTGCCAGACGGTTTGTGTATTGAATTTTCAGACATTACAGTGCTTTTTTTAAAGTACTTGGTATTCATTATTACATGTATTTGTCATCATCAGGAATATAGATATATGATAAAAAAGAGGAAGAAATATGTAAAATATGTACAGATACCAAAACAAAAGGTTTCAGGTCTGCAGAAACTAGGAGCAATTAAACCTGCATGAGTAATGAACTGACATAATTACATTAAATCAGGGGCATTTGAGAAGTCTTGTATTAAAGTTTTAAGTAGCTTAGGCATTTCTGCTGCTTTTTTAATCAGTATGAAGTGCATGACTGAGGATTTTAAGGGTCAGTATTTATGGCCTTGAGTGCAAAGTGATTGCTGTGTTTATTCAACTCTTCTATTTTTTTCCAGGTTAATTTAACCTGTATTCTTACATTTTGTTTCATCTGTGCAAATGAAAGATTGAGATAAAATCATCAGTGTTCATTAAAAAAATTTAAAAAAAGTACTTGGGGGGAAAAAATGGTCAATATTAAGTAATGAGAAACATATTGTGTAAGAAGGCTAACCTTGAAGTGTTAAATAAGGATACAGAGTTTCGAGCTAATTGACGTGTTAGATTAGGGGCCATACAAGTTTGTAAATCAGAATCGATATTTCTCATAATACACCTGGACACAGATTGCAGTGAAGGGCATGTGACTTGATTACCTGGCTGTTGGAGAGGCTTTTGATTCATAATTATAGTCTGAATGAAAGCTTGGTCATCGGCGGCCCCTTTTGTTTGTGCGCAACCATTCCACATATGGAAAGGAACTAATTAATATTGTTCGAATCGCTGAAGAAGTGTATACATTTTTATATACACAGATTTGGGTGACAAGCATGATGGATGGGTCGCCCCAACAGAGTACGCAGTGAACTTCGTCAATGAATATACTTATAGCTGAAACGAGACGAAAAAACGCTTCAGTGCACATGCTTGGCAAAGTACACCAAGGAATTTCATAGTTTGCCCAAATACTATCAGCAGATAAAAAAGGTTAAATCTCCTGCTACCGAAAGAATTCTGTCGTTCGAAGGGCTCTTTTTTCTTGCATTCACAAAGGATTAGAGGCACAAATATAGCACAGACTGGTTTTTCCTTTAACATGCAAATCATGAACAATGGATAAAACATTTTGGGTTGTGTTCGTGTAAATTTATGAATAGACTACGTATCCTCCTTGCTATGAAGGAAAGATAGATGGTAAGTGGCTTATATTTAGTTCATTGTTGTGCATTGTGCATTGTATTTAAATATTGACTCTGAAAGATAATATTTTTCTATACATGGAGTTTGAAGCGTAAATGGGTCCTGCACCCATTCCTTAAATTTTTTGTTTGTATTCTATTCTGCAGTGTATTTTTTTTTTTAAACTTTGAAACATTTGACTGGCTTTTGTAGGTATGTTTTTGTTGTGTTCGGTTTGTTTTTCTGGAATTTTAATTAAGGTGAGACTATGGTCGATATAACATCTCGTTGATTATGCCCTCTTGTTGGCATATGATGATATCAGCTAAATCTATATCCTTCTCTTTTTTTTGCTTAAATTAACTGAATTGGTTGGATCAATGATAAAAAGAATACATGACCTACATTGCAAACTGGTAACTTTGTAAGACTCCAATCAATTCTGTATGCTACCCAGACTTTTCAAATGATTAAGTCTGATCATTTAACACTAATGATTTTTTGTTAAACACCACCAAGCAACGTAAACTAAAGCTTAGTTTTTATCTGCAGAGAAGAAGGGGTTTTTTTGCGCTCTTTTTGCCCTTTAGGCGGTCAGGTGTATATGTCAAGGAAGTTTGAAACAGACACACTTTTATTTCTCTATGGGATAAGGTTACATGTACCTTTGGGAGTCTGCACGCAGGTCATGAGAATATTGATATTCGATGCTTTTGTAAATCAGAGATGTCGTATTATCATGAGTTGATATTAACCTCAGAACAATCTAAAAATAACAACTCAGAAATAGGTGTGGGTATGTGAGGATTAAGGTCTTGGTTGTGAAGTCTTACTGAAATTGAAAGAATGTCATTAATTTTGTAGTTTCTGACATGTTTTTTTATCATTCGATTTTCACTTTTCTGTAATCAAGTAGAACTCTCTCTCTCTCTCCAGATGTATATATTGTTACGTCAAATGCTGTATTTGAACTTTATGTAAGATTGGACTTTACATGTCTTGACTAAATCTAATTTTTTATTGACTTCACAGCCATAGATTATAAATTGTCAAGCTGCAAACAAAATTGGAAAATCGTGAAACAAAGTTAAAAACTCATGAGCTTAAAGTTTAAATAATTGTTGAAATGCACACAATTGAATCATGGACTGAAATTAAAAAGTTTGGAAAGCAAGTACTTACTTTTGAAGTTTAAAATAAAAAGTTTGCAAGTATCCAGAAAAGATGAAAAAAATTTATGTAACACACAATTTCTTGAATGGTTGTAACATTTTTATCAGGACTTTGAAATGTAAAAAGATAATTTTGTCAATTACTTGCAAAGATTTTTTCAAATGTAATTAATTACTTTCAATTACTTTGACAAATGTAATTAAATACATTTCAATTACTTTGAATTTTTAAAAAAAAATTAAAATATTTTTTTTTAAATAAGTTTTTTCTATAGCGAACGAAAACTTTCATTCAGATATGTTTTTGTTCTTGGGTATGATAGCTAGGGGTTCACACCTGGTCAAAATTAGACCTTATAATGAGTGTGACACACTGTAAAAAATTTATGTTAACATGCATTTTTAATCTTTTTTGTCAACAATTCCATTCATTATTTTCTATCTTAAAATGAACAGAATACAGGTACCGGTAAATCTAAAAGGGGATGTAGTTAGTCTAATTGCTCTAAAACAAAAAACTGTCTAAGCAATCATTGTTATAATTTGCAAGTGGGAATAGGGAAAACTGAGATTTATAAAACATTTTATATATTTAAAAGTTTTTAAAATATTAACTTTCATTTTGAAAAAAAGTATAAATAAAAAAGTAATTGAAAATCCAGTATTTAAATACATTCAATTACTTGATCTCATTTACTTCCAATTACTTTGAAAAATCTTCAATAAGGTAAAAATATAATAAAATAGAATCGTACAGTTGTCATTTAGTAATTAACATGTTTTTTCTGGCCTTGTCAATTATTGATCAGACTGAGTATAGAAAATCACGGTCTCTTGTTATGATGAGGGTATTGTATAAATATATGTAACTGTCATTTCCATATATATCTTGGCCTCACAGGTGAGCATTATAAGTATTAGTTGATATTTTTAGTGTGCGTGATACTCTGGCAATACGTACTTCTGCCAAAAAGGTGTTTCCTGACACGGTGCTTCTAATCAGTCTGTGTGAATTAATGCGTGTGCAATTAGTCTGCTTTTATAATTATTTGCCAAACAATTATGAAGGTGGAATTTCTGATGATTATTTTATTGCTCCTCAGTGCAGTTGTGTTAACACTCATCTGACAAACAGAGAGAAGTGATTATGATGGCATTCTTTTGGTTTTTTTCTTCCACAGGCATGACAATATTTTTGGCAAAATGAAGTCGGAACAAGCAATTAAATGACTTTTACTGCCCATTAAATGCTGTTTTTCATTGGAAAATATTTCAGAGTGGTGAAGGGTTACAGTATTGGAGATTGGAAATGAACATGCAGTTACAATTCTAGTGTAGGTTTTTTTTCGCAATCACGTGTAAGAAAGTGATAATTATTTTAAAACTGCATTCGCATCATGTATGAAACCTTGATGTTTTCAAATGCTTTTCAAATGCTTCTGTTTTTTTAATGTTGTGAGTTGAGTTAAATAACTGTATGTCGATCTCCATATTTATCGATAACATTAATTAACACATTATAAAGATCGGTCAGGTTTTATTACAGACTTCAGTGCATGATGTTCTGCACTTTCTTTCAAGTGCTTCTTCAAGATATTTTGGTCAGTGGTTAAATCTGAGTCTGCTTACCGAACCATCGTAAATTAAGGTGCAGTTTGCAGTATAGAAATTTAATCACCTCTGAATTTATATCAACAACTCTAATCTCTTTGCCTTCATGTAGATGTAGACTTGTATTTTACTGTATTTCAATAATACAGCTGATTCTTAGTTTGTGGGGGTGTGTTTGGTTAGGGAAATCTTCCAAATTAGCTTGTGAAAAATGTTTAAAGTACCCAGGTCATAGGTTGAAGGTTACTGACAGCTTGCTCAAAGAGAGAGAGAGAGAGAGAGAGAGATGGTGAAAAGGCAGAAGATAAAAGCTTGAAAAACTTGATTTAACAGGATGCAGTTCAATTGTGTTCGTATGGACAATGCTGCATTTGTTATCAAAATGTGCACAAATGGTTTTTTTAAATAATGTGTGTCATTGGGTATGATTGTGGAATATTAAGCAAATGAAAAAAGCCTAAGAGGAAACAATTTCACTGATACTTTTGATACTAATCATAGCTACTGGCTATCAATAAGTTAGAATATTGGCCATGAAAGTTGATATGAATTACATTTTGGTGCATGAAAAATGGTAATTTGGATGAGGAAAATCATAGCTGTGTAGGCGTCAACACAGAAAAATGTTTCAAAACTGGCTTTACTAGCATACACTGGGTCATGTGATTGGAAATGCACTTGGATTGCCCTCGTATATTTCCCAAACGTCTGAAGACCATTAAACTGTTTTGTCTGGAACTGTAAAAACATGAAAGAAATGGTGAAGTTCACACATTGAAGAGTAATTGCACAATTTGATGGAAATTAAACAGCACATTAGGACCAAGGATTAGGTCAATTTACTGTGTGTTTATGACCCTGGTCTAATCAATGATGGATGCTGTTTAGTTATGGTCAGTCTAATATTGATTTGCTTTCTGTGGTCACTGATGTGCATGAAAGAGTCCATGCAGTTGGCTATAGCAGTAACACACACAGCAATCAATAAGGGGCCTGTTTTTTTTCTAATCCCAGAGTGATTCAAACAATGTCCAACACTGCCCTAGTATTTTCCAGCTTTGGCAGTTTGTCAATAGTGATCTCTTTGTTGTATTTCATTCATTCAATTCCTGATGAATGGACTGATTAGGAAGACATTTAAATTCCTCAAGGATTTATTCGTACATGTGTATATTTATATAGTTAATATATATACATATGTACATATATGTACTGTGAGTGAGAGATTTAATATCCTAGTCACTGCATTAAATACGTGGGGAAGAATGTCCTGTTCCTATATATATATATAGTACTAGATTTACTACTATCAATGTATGTAGACATGCAGTACCTAGTAAAGCACTGATAACTACTACAAACAGTGGTTGGTATGACTATGATGTGTTTATTTATATACATACTTATATATTTACTCTGTTTTTCCTGTCAAACATGTGAGGAAGTGTTTGGTCTAAGTCCATTTATATTTATAAACTTCACGTTATGACTTATCAGTGCTATATATATATAAACATTCTTCTGGTCTTGAAATAACATGGCTATAATTAGTATTCAAAAGTGCATATGATGATTATGTAAATCAATATTACTGTGGTACAAATTACACAACTGCCTGAGATTTTTTTTGTGCAAGCTAAATAGGAATCAATCCATCTGGTGACGTACGCAAGAGAGCTTTTATCTGTAAATGGGTTCCGATTTTTTAAAAATCAAGGTTTATATGTTTCAAGTTGGAAATGAGGAAAATTCAATAGATTACAGAGAGAGATAGTTTAATTTTTTTATTTATTTTATTTTCAGAAACGGAAGATGTGAATGCAGCCTCCATTAATTCAATTTCTGATGTACGACATGGCTTTGCTCCATCTACGAAATCTGTGCATCACAAGACCCTTTGTCAGCTACTGACGCAGAGGAAAGAGACGCAGCGAGGCAATGAGCAACAAGTGAGCGAAGGGGAGAGAATCAAAGCCAGGATCGAGGAAAACAACAATGAGGCTCTGGACCTGAAAAATGACAGTAGTGAACGAATGAATAAAAACAACAATGGGTTCAGTAGAATGACTGGAAGTGCTCCTCATAATAGCAGTGAAAATATCAATTGGCTTCACGATGGTTCTAACAATCAAGCTTCACCTCCGAGGCCTTCCGAAGGTATGATAAGTAATGCCAGCAACATAGGAAGTGAATCCCTCTCTACGACCATGTTAGCTTCAGCAGCCTCACCCGGAAGTATGTCGGGGGTGTTCCGACCCCCCATGAACGAAGCTGCCTCTAGACTTCTTACCCATGGAAATAGTCAGTACCCTGGTTTGTATTCCCCAGGGGGTAGTGCTAGCAGCTCAATATCTCCTTACTCGCTGCAAGGACACAGTCCTTCCTCAGTGCAAGGATCACACTTACAATCGTTAGCACATTATAATACATTTTATCAGAATCCATATAATTTACAGAGGTCCGGTATTCTCTCTGGACCTTATCCACAAATCGAGTCCTACTCCGCTGTGTTACAGAGTATGGGCACTGTGGTGCAACAGACTTCCCACACCCAAATTCCACGCAATACTTACGGTCCAGTGACACAGTATTCGGGGCTCAGTAGCTCGCACCCGCGCTCAATGTCAGCCTCAATGTCTCCGAGCCCCGACGCTCACCACGGAGCTAGTCAGGCTGAGATCATTCACTCAGACCTGAAAAGGGAGAAGCTACCGGAAGAACATGAAATAATATCTCGTCTGAAGGATGAGCGTGCTCAAAGTCTTTCATCACTTGAATTTTCTGGAGGTAAATCTGTTTCATTTAAGGACCCACCTCGGCGGGATTCTCACCGCGAGGTCAGCTACAAAGTGCCTAGTGGGAAGGAGGGGAGTTTAAAACACCGTATTCTGACTCGTCCCTCGGACAGTGCAATACAGAGTTCTCACTTAGACTCAAGGTTCACCACCTACACGGGGGATGAACCGGCCCTAAAACGATCAAAAAATAATCACGGTGGGGTGTCGACCAAACATTCCATGGACGAGGGGCCCAGTGTGCACATGGTGCCTCTACAGACCTCCATGCGACAGAGCCCGGCCATGACACAGGGCTCAAGTGCACAGTTACATTACCCTCCCCATTTCATGAAAGGATCAATTATACAGCTTAGTAATGGGGAATTAAAACGAGTGGAGGACTTGCAAACCGATGATTTTGTACAGAGTGCAGAAATTAGCAGTGATCTCAAAATAGATTCCAGTACTGTGGTGAAAATTGAATTCAATCCAGACCACAGTACGGCCATTCTTGGCTTTGTGGTCGGGGAACATAAAGTACAGGTGAGTAGCATTAAATATGATTTTTCAGTATGCTATGGAATCTGTGGTGTTGGGTATAAAGAGATTGCTACCTTGTGTAATTAACTTCTTTGACAGTATACTGACCTACAGATAATAAAATAGTAATGAAAGTTGTTGTCAGAGCTATACTGTGCAGTTATGTAAATGTCTGCATTTCAACTCTTATTTAAGCCTGTTAACAATCCCATAATTCTGCCATTATCAGAGAAATAATTAGCATTGCTAAGAATAAATATGTCAGGATTTCATGTCATAGTGCATGAAAGGTGAACCTTTTGACACCTATGTAAATTTTTTATAATATGCCATTAATTAATACTCATTTCTGAAATAAAACATTTTATTTTGAGGATTGATTTTAGGAAATTGAAATGGTATTTATAGTTTAGTACTGCACTTGCAGTGATGTGAAAGAACAAGATTATTTTCATAATGATCGACTTGATTCTCAATTTCGGTCTTTTCGGAATTTTTTTCTCAGTAAAAAAGCTATATGCAATTCCTTTCTTTTGAGAAAGACAGAAGTTATAATTTAAATTACTATTTTTCTAGCATGCATAATTTTACAAAGCTTGAGATTAAATTTCATTAAAAATGCAAGCACAAGCATATATGTCAATATAAATTGATCCATAAAAATAAAAATAGCTTAATATTTTTAGAGGACTTTATTTTTTGTTGCAAATTTTCTGGAACAAGGGCAATGATCTAAAAAATTTATAAATGTCACTTTGAACATCCATTAAGTAAATTTATATTAGGCAGCAGCAGAATGTAAATAGCCAATAAATTTTCTGAATAATTAAAATGTCTCTCCTACACTTTTCATTGTTTTTTTCTGCAATGTCTCTAGAAGCTAAAATCAATAGAAGGTCTTGCAAAGATATATCTAGCTTTAATTAGAAGAAGACATTTGAGACACCCTCCCCCTTTCCCCTGGTAAGATTGGGTTTTTAATATGAATCGCATATCAGCAGAAATGTTGGAGGGTGTAAACATTATTTTCTGCTGAATTGCCGCCTTACACATGTCAGTGCAGACAGCGAGTGACAATCAATGCTCCCAGTTCGTCCCGTATTGATCAGAAATCGTCAACTTGTTGACAATGTGGGGCTGCACTCCCACGCCACCATTAATAATTCCATCGGTGGTGGTTTTGTCACATAACCGAGCATGGAATGAGGGGGCAGAAGATTAGTTTGCTCATCAATATTAGAAAACATTCTGCTCTTGAAAGGTTTTGGATTTAAAAATATGACATTAAAATGACTTGAAAAGTCTCAAATTACATTTTATATTTCATATGTAATTTGAAAGCCGAACAGATGGAAATGAATGGCGATTTAAAACGCATATTTTTTTCCATTGAATAAATTTTATCATGTTTATCAAATGACAGGTTTAGTACTAAGAGCAGTCTAGCACAAACTATTGCAGGACTGTAGGAAGGGGGAAGGGATGCATTGCCTCTTCCAATTACGTGTATGAACCAAGGTTGTCCCTATAAGAATTCAAATCACTGGAGACATTGGAAAAAGTAGAAGGGCGTTTGAGGTTCCTCCCCTAACAGGGGTCTCAGGGGGAATACCAGAATAACTGAGGGATTATGTCATTTTAAGCAGGGAAATCCCCCTGGGTCTTATTGACAACCCTGAAGGAACCCTCCAATCTCTTCCAAAAGAAAAGTAAAATTGCTTCCTCCAAGTTAAAAAATGGTTTAGTATTAAACAATGTAGACATTTTTACTTATAATCTTTTCTGTTCTGTTCCTCTTGGTTGTTGAATTTGTAGCTGTCTCAACATACATATTTATAATAGGTGCATGTAATGTTTTGAATCCTCATGAATATTAACAATTTGCAATTTAAGGTTCTGAATATAGATCTAAATGCATTTTTTATGATAATTTTATAGCATACTTTAAAGTGTAAAAAAATTGTGAATTTTATGTCTCAAGTTTTGTACTAGATTATATAGTAAAAATACATGAATTCTTTGAAAATCTTCTTCTCTGCTCCTAGGTATTAAATAAACTAACTAAGTGTATAGTTATGTTGATGCTTTTACCAAAATTGTGAATTTTATGGCCCCAGGGTCAAGGGTTCTGGTGTGTGTAGGGGGGGGGCTCTATTGATTATATAGTGAAAATACATTAATTCTTTGAAAATCTTCTTCTCTGCTCCTAGGTATTAAATAAACTAACTAAGTGCATAGTTATGATGAGCAAGAGTGCCTCAACCAAAATTGTGAATTTTATGGCCCCAGGGTCAAGGGTTCTGGTGTTGAGGAGGGGAGGGGACTCTATAGATTATATAGTGAAAATTCATGAATTCTTTGAAAACCTTCTTCTCTGCTCCTAGGTTTTAAATATACTAACTAAGTGCATAGTTATGATGAGCAAGAGTGCCTCAACCAAAATTGTAAATTTTATGGTCCCAGGGTCAGGGGTTCTGGTGTTGAGGAGGGGGGGGGGACAGATTATATAGTAAAAATACATGAATTCTTTGAAAATCTTCTTCTCTGCTCCTAGGTATTAAATAAACTAACTAAGTGTATAGTTATGATGAGCTGCTTTTACCTAAATTGTGAATTTTATGGTCCCAGGGTCAGGGGTTCTGGTGTTAAGGCAGGGCTAGTTTGATTATATATTGAAAATACGTGAATTCTTTGAAAATCTTCTTCCCTGCTCCTAGGAATTAAATAAACTAATTAAGTACATAGTTATGATGAGCAAGAATGCCTCTTCTAAAATTATGAATTTTATGGCCCCAGGGTCAGGGGTTCTGATGTTAGGGCGGGACTCTATTGATTATATAGTGAAAATACATTAAATCTTTGAAAATTTTCTTCTCTGTCTCTGGGTATAAGCAGATTACCTATATAGTCATGATGAGCAAGGGCCCTAATCTTGCATTGTGAATTTCAAGGACCCTGGGTCAGGGGTGGGGGGGGGGGGGGGGGCTCTACCTGAAAATGAATTAATTGTTTGAAATCTCTCCTGTATTTATAAAACATTTATTTATTTTTTGATAGGCAATTTTAAGAGTGCCTTTTTAAAATTTGTGCAATGTGTGGACCTATGTCACAGTGTTAGGGGCACTACTGATTATTGCTGAATATTACTGATTAGTTGGAATGCATTTTTGTTCCCCTACCCTGCGTATGGGTATTTAGTAACCAAGCTAAGCAACTGCTAAGTGTACTGTTATGATGATCAATGGTGCCTCTTTCAGAATTGTGAATGCCATATATCATCTGGCTTAAGTTAAAACATGAATCAAATTCAATAACTGGAAAGTTGTTGCATAATGCTCAGGTGACCTATAAGGCCCGTGGGCCTCTTGTTTATAATTACTGACGTTATATTGCACACCACTCTCTGTAAAAAGAATTCTGTATTTCTGATATTGTCATTTATTAGACTGGCCTGCATGTCTGATATCCGATATACAATTTTCCTGCATACGGTAAAGACAGGCAATACCAGTCTAGTCATTTATTGGTCTTTATACATTATAGAATGGGGAAGGGGGATTATTATTCTTGTCAGTCTTTCTTTTTTTTGTCCCCATGCAACTTTATTAATCCCAATCATATCTATTCAATAAGAGACTTAAAAATGTTTTGCCATGGTCAAGGCTAGGTCAAGGTCATATTTCAGTTTCACTATTATCAGCTGGGACATACATTTCACATTCATATCTTGTTTTAAATTAACAATGAAAGTATCATGCAGTCGATGAAATTTTGATTCTATCTTGGTTGAAAAGTTTGATTGTTTTTTTTTTTTTTGGCTACCATAAGAGGTGCAAAAAGCTGTACAATGAAATTTCAGATTCCAAATGTGTTTATTTAATAAAATGAAGTAACTTTCTTGATGTACTGCATTATCTAAGGTATTGATCTAAATTTCAGGTGACGGTGGAGGCGACATTAGAGCACCCTTTCTTTGTCTTTGGACAAGGTTGGTCCTCGTGTGAGCCTGAGCGGAGTCTCCATAGATACGGACTGGATTGCCAGAAGCTCACAGTGGGGGACGTCTGCATCTCCTTAACGCACAAAGACGTACAGGAACGGGCAGCCGAGATCTCCCAACAACAACAGCTGGAGCTGAAAGAGTCCCCCCACAGGTCCGCCCTCAGAAATTCCACCTCCTCCCTGAGCCCCGCCCACAAGAGAACCTCCCCCAGTGACCTGGAGAACCGCCCCAGGAAGCATCATCTTTCCACCATGTCAAGTCACCACGTCGATCCTCCTAAGGACACTGTCGAAGTGAAACAGGAGACGGCTCGTTATAGTGTTACCTGATATTCCACAACACCCCCCCCTCCCCCCTTCTACTCAAAACAAATTATATCTTTGTTATTATTACTTCTTTACTTTGTTGTTACACAGCAAAATTATTATCTATACCCATCATTGTTTTTATTGTATAACAGCAATCTGAAGAGCTTTTGATACAGTCATCTGAATTTATATTGGATCAAACAAGAAAAGGCTTGTCTGGAACATGAAAAAAGTACCTATTAGAGTATGCCATCATTTTGACTTAGTTTATCATACATGACATGCATACTTTTTTTTTTTATTGGTTAAATGTGTTCCTTCAGATTTTGTATTAAAAGGTTGCACTCCACGGAGAGACTCGGTCAGGTTGCTGTTTTAGTGCAATTGTTTTACAGTCCCAGCACTATAATATGGTTTTTTTTTTTTTTTTTCTTCAAAAGTGCTAAATAGAAGATACAGTGTATCAAATGCTTGATAGTCTAGATAGATTCCCAGGTGTTTTTTAATTTGAAAATCTGCATTACTTGTGTAAAGAGATGTATTTTACTGAGGGTATATACATGTATAATCAACTCATTCTCTGGCTTATTTTATTAGGCCATATGGTACAATAGGAACATATTGCAATTCATAGTATTTTTCTCAATTTATTTTTAGAGAAAACCTAAACTATTATAGAGATCTGCTGTAAGCTACTAATTTTTTTTTTGTATGAAAAGATTTGAGCCTATTGAACATAAAACATGTTTATATTAATGAACAAATTATCCTCTTAGAAATTCTTAAAAATTGACATTTTTAAAGAACTATATATTTTTTGCCCCCATGGCAGTGAGTTGACAGATTTTTATGGCATCATCAGTATTTTTAGAGTGCTTTCTTATATAATTCATAGAATTTTTTTTAATTAATTGACATTTACTGTACAAATCCTATGTGGATTTAGTTACGAATTGTCTTTTCTTGTTATTTCATGTTGTTTCATGGAAAATTGTGATAATTTTAGATTATTTTTATTATAGATAACGCACAATACAAGTGTATCTCAAATTTTATGGAAAGCAATTAATGTTGTAAATTGTATATTGGATATAATTTTTACTTGAAAGAAAAAATATTAATTTTTTTTTTATAAATGGATTTAAACTAAATACTTCATATATGAATTATTGTTCTCGATCAAATGATGAGTTTCTGTTATAAAAATGCCAATGTATTGATAACATATCTGTCTTTTATACTTTTTATCTTGAATGCACTTTTTGTCGAAATTACAACAGACGCACAGAGTTCAGTCAGTGTTAAAGTATTACAAATGGCAAACTGTTTTTTTCTTATGTGATACCATAAAGTAGAAAAATGTCAGAGAAAATGATACCAATCTTGCTAACAAAAAATATATTCTCAAGACAATATAGGTGCTGTATTGCAATGCCTATCCATATTTTAATGGATTACGCATCACAGTCATGCAATATTGAAGGAAATGTGGTCTGTAAACTAAAACCATCTTTTCTCATCTTGTTCATAACAAACGAGTCATGTAGAAATCTTATATGGCTAATGTCAAGCAGCTAGCATATTTGATGAGCAATTATCAAACTCTTTGGTGAGACAGGAATTGGGAATCTGTGCTATGAGTAGAGCATTTGCATGTTGTTATGCATTGTTATTGTTACACGCAGTAAATTGGAGCAACACAGATGCAAAGGGCAACAACTTCTATTAATCATTTGGGAATGACAAATGCATGTCAAAATTAGATCAATGTATCAAGATGTACCTCTTCTACTCTTGAGTTTGGGTCAACTTGTGATAAATTTTTTTAGTAATGTTTCAATAATTGTTATAAAATTTGACTCTCTTTTAAAAATATGGGGAAAATGTTTGATTTTCCTTTTTTTTTCACTAAATTCATTACATATAAGCCTTTTTCATTTTTTTTTTTACATTTACTGTTTAGTTTAGATCAAGATCTTTACCTAGATCTTTGGTTAGTTGAAAAAAATGGATTGTTTCCATAAAATGCATAACATGTACACAACTTATATTCTACTCAATTCCTTTTTAGATCTCAAATTACAGGCAATATCATCGGAGGCAATTTCCTAGCAATTAACTAAAATATCTGTTCACCGAGACTTTTGATACATATTGCACACTGTACGCATATTATAGTGCCTTACTTAATTGAAAGGGACATAAGAGAAGCAATTTAAAAATACTTAGTATACAAGGAAAAAATACCAATGTTTTGAAGACTTTTACAAACAATAATAATTTTTTTTTTCTGTGACTTGCAATACCTAGGTCCAAACTGTTGTTGAAAATTATTCCTTTCAAATAAAAATTAATTTTTTTTTACCACATAACATCAATTCACAGTTTTACATGGAAGCGATAATGAAGTTTGTAAGATTTCCTTTAGAAAATATAGTGAACATTTTACAATGCATCTCAACATTTAAATTGCATATACTACATTTCATTTCCCAGAAAACAAAAAAACCCAATTGAACAATATGCCATTGCATCTTACAACTTCATGTTCATTCGTTGTGCGAGGGGAAATATGATAAAGCTCAGGGATTAAGGAAGACTGAAGGTTCACACTTAAGTGTCCCATTTTGTGATAGAGAAAGGTCAGGGGCCGGCAGCTAAAAAGATCTGGAGGAATTATTACATCACAACATCGCACAATCTGCATATACCCAGTGCCTTTCATGTTGTCCAAGTTAACACATTTTGTTGTTCATTTTTCAGACATTTTTGCACATTTCACACCAGTAAAATAAACAAGAGAATTTGATATTGTTTTGTTGAAAATGATCTGTTTCGGGGGCCTATAGAATAATTATTGTAGGGGGAAATGTATCTCAAAATTTCCTTTTGCCTCATTTTCAGTGTTGCCTTTTGATGCAATTTGGGCAACATTGTTGTTTATAAAACCCAGTGAATTGTGAAGTGTGTTGTAATGAAGTAAATTGGTGACTGTTAAAACTGCCACAAACAGGTATTAGAATTTTTCATTGATCTTTTATTTCATCCATTCATAACCTCCAATGGTCCATGTTGCACTGTTAAAAGTTCTAGTTGGCATGCTCCATTTTGCAGAAAGGATCAAAATTGCTTAGTACAAAAAAAATGTGTGAAATATTAACAGTATACTTCCTTCTAGAAAAGATGAGTGGTCATGGTTTAAATACACATAAAGAAATTAACACTGTAAATCTGGTCTCGGTGCCAAAGTCAAATCCTTAGTTTTCTTAAGGATTTTATCTTGTACGATCCTATTTATAGGTAATGTCTCTGGACAACCTTTCCACCATTTCAAAACAGTTATATCTTAATGAAACACACATCCATACATCCACTGAGAGAAAAAAATAATTAAGATCATATACCATGATTATATACTGACAAGTTTCTAATTACCTTGGTAAGACAAGGTACACCTGTTAACCATTGTGTCTTCATAGTTTCTCAGTTCACATATTAGCAGTATATCAAGTGCTTGAAAACCTTTCTACATCTACACTTATAATATGTGCACATATCCCTTTTCTGTAAAATGAAAAAGTTTAGTTATGAGCAAGATAATAATGAATAGCAATGAATGACATACGTGTACACATGTTTATAATCTTGCTTGTTGTTAATTTTTTGTCTGAATTTTTTCTGCATTCTACTTTTATCCTGTGCTGAGAAAAATTATCTGTTACAATGATGTTATCTATGATGTTATTTTGTTAGTTGTGCTTAAACTTAGATGTGAAACTAGTTTTGTATAAATTGACACAAAAAATGTTAAAAAATTTAAATAAATATACAGTTTTAAAAAAGTGCTCCTGTTCCATAAGTCTGTTGAAACAAAATAAGTGAAAACATTTCTAAAAATAAAGTTTTTATCAAATTGCCCTTTTTTGCTTTTGTTCTGAAGTGAGAAATTTTATTTTTCTGAAGAGATGCAAATGAAATTAAGAATCAAATAACAGAAATGTCAAGCCCTAGAAATGATGGCCTAGTGGTTCAGTTTTACAAAATGCCAAAACATTTGTTTGACATTTTGAAACACCTTTTTGTAAAGAGAGAATCTTCAAGATGAGCAAGACATACATATGGCAATGTTAAAGAGGTTCAACTTGTCACTTTAAATTGTGTCTTAAATGATGGTGAAACAAGATGTGTTTGTCCAACACTGATTCCCCTTTATACATGCCAACACAAGTTAGATTTTCTCAAATGCAAGTCTAATCCAAGGTCAAGTGATCAGAAATGTTGTTTCCCAAAGGAAAAAAAACAATAAATATACAGTGGACCTTCAGATATACGGATGCTTAAGTATCCGGACGATTTTTCATTGGAACATAATTTTTTAAAAATGTTATTTTGTTGTGTTTAACTGGTAATTCAGGTATCCTGACGCTTCACATATCCAGACAAATTGACTAGGAACCAAAGCGTCCGGATAATTGAGGCTCCACTGTACTTGAGAATATAAAAGCCCAAGCTCCTTCCACTCAAAAGTTATGGCTAAGTTTGTTTTTTTTAAAGTGATTCAAACTCTAAGATATAGCTTGAAAGGACAAAGGGTCAAAATTAATGGTACCCAGGGAAAGGCCTTGTCATAAATGAACATGTGAAGCCAGAGCTCCAACTGTTCAAAGGTTATGGCCAAGGTTAAATATTTCACAAGTAGGTCAAGGTCAAAATTGTTGGTATATTCAAAAGAAGATCTTCACAATTTAAGGAATACACCTGTGAAATTTGAAAACCCTAATTCAATCTGTTCAAAAGCTGAAGCCAAGGTTATTACATGTATTATATTTAAGGTAAGTCAATTTCTAAGGTCAAAGGATAAAAAATAAAATTATACCAGTGGAAGTGTCTTGACAGTGTCACAGTGACTACATGTGAAGTTGATAGCTTGTTCCAAAATAATGGCCAAGGTAAGAGTTTGGAATTTTTTTTTCAAAAGCAGGTTTAATCCAAGGTCAAGAGGTCAAAAATGTTTATACCAAAAAAAAGGTTTTTCACAGGAAATAGACATGTTAAACATGAAAGCCATCTATATATATTAGCTGCAACCAATCAAAAGTTAAGGGCAGTGTTAAAGTTTTCTTAGGGGGACAAACAAACAGACAGACGGACTGGGAAAAAACTATGTACCCTCAACTCTTTGACAATGAGGACAAAACAAGAGACCTATGGGCCATATTGCTCACCTGAGAACAAAGAAAAAGCATAAATCAATTCTGGTGAATGACTTTTAATTGGCTATTGTATTAATGAAATATCTATTTTGTGGGTACTCTAATGAACCCATTGACCTCTTTTCCTTTCTGAAGAAATGACCCGGTTGTTATGTGACAATCAACATTCAAAAGAAAGCTCAAAGCATTCCATTCAAACAGAAAATGTTAGCATTTCAATGTATATCATTATATTATACTATTGATTTAAGATTCAGCAAATTAAACTGCAGCTCATATGCATATGTGCAATTTTCAGGTAATTATATTGAAGAATTTAATACTTATAATATATAACTGTATATTATTAAAAGTGAAAGTATTTTTGTCCAGGTACAAGGATGTACATTATAAAGACACTTGTGTCAGAAAATTAGAGTGAAGACCATGTGCTTGCTTTCATGTAAATCCAGTCAAGGTATCTTAAATTAATCCATATAATGACAGACAAAAACAGTATCAGAGGAGAACTGAGGAAAAAAGTAATTAAAACACAATATGATCCAAACTTTGTTTCCGAAACATACCAAATTGCAGTAAAAAATAAACAGCAGATAATAAACTGTCCATGCACTATATAAGTTCATCATGGTGAGAGTTATAAAGTTTAAAAGTTGACTTTTGATGCACTGTCAATATACTAAAGTAGCCTGACACAGTAACCTCTCCTACCCTCCACATTGGTCTCTGTTGCTCTGTCTCATTCATAAATCTAAATGTGAATTACACTTTCTGACATAATCAGGTCCAGTACAATCACTAGATTAAGCTACGTAGGTAGAATTACCTACGTAGCTTTATTTACCTACCTCTGGTAGCTTTATTTAGCTATTTCAATGTAACTTTTCAAAAGTTTTCTTTTTATCGCAATTAAATGACTATTGACATTTATATTAGGGAGGCTTAAAAAACAATCCAAAGCAGAGATTAGTTTATACATTGCTGTATTTGGAGAATTTAGAGCAAAACATGTAATTCCATTGTTTGGTTATCTGTCCTCTCTCATGCGTGTGGCGAGGCATGGCTGAGTATGATTACACTGTACCTCACATTGTGCTGAATAATAACCGACCTATTATCATGTTAACCGTAACTGGACTTCTTTGTCATTTTATTCAAGGAGTAACTGTTCTAACTGTCATACATAGCCCCAAAATTTTCAGAACTTTGATTGCAATTGTGCAGAAAAAAACATTTTTCCAAGAGGGATTTTATCATGAGTTGTTATCAGATAAGTTCAAAGTTGAAAATGATCACTGCATCAAAATGATGTTTTTTGCACACCCTGAGAAAAATGCTTTTTTATAGAAATAAATGGATTTGGTAGCTAAATAAAGCTACCTCAGGTAGGTAAATAAAGCTATGTAGGTAAATCAAGCTACGTAGCTAAATCTAGTGATTGTACCAGACCTGATAATGATAACCAAATAAGGACGTAATTAGTTCATAGGTCACACAAAATGTGTGAGGGTTATGAATGTATAACCCAAGATTCTCCAAATTTTACTGCCATGGGCAATATTAACATTTTTAAAATAAAAGTTGAAATGAAATTTATAACAACTTCCCAAGAATCACATGTACATTTCTTTTATTTTAAATATTCATAAAATTAGTCAATACTTTACTCTTCTGTACAACAGAAAAATATTCTTAAAAATCTGTATTATTCTAATTTTGATCCTCTGTGTCCAGTAGGAAATCCTGGATTTCTGTCTTCATCTTTACCCTACATATACAATAAACAGAATTATAAGCATATATACAATATAAGTAATACAAAATAGCAGAGAATATAAGTATATACAACAACAAACGTTATAAGTAAACTACTAATTTAAAAGCAAACTGTATGTGTACTTGAAAAATCCAGTTTCATTTTTAGGCAGTTTTGGTACAGACAACATGATAATACTTGTACATGTATTAATTTGTGAATATTGTAAAAAAAAATCTTTTATAAATAGAATACACGCCAACCACTCAATATCTAGTGATGTTCTAAATTTTGAATACATCAACCTCATTTAAATCTATTCATTTCAGTTTAGGATAATTATGGTTTTCATATATAAATATTTCTGAAGTTTCTCTTTTTTTTTTATTGCATACCTTCTTTGTCTCTTTCTAATGTCATCAAGGATATGCTTAGGCAACCTGTTCACATCATCCTGTGTTAAAAAAAGAAAAAAAAAAAGAGGTTTGTTATAACATTTTTTTAAATTACACTGTTCATTTTCATTCAAAATAATATTCATTGTAGATACTTCTTTTAGCAAAGACAAGATTTGAAAATAAAAATGTGAATCTTATCAAACTAAATGTGAATAAAGAACATTCACTAGAATCCAATTATGCAGTCTAGAAAAAACTATGAAATCATGGAATAGATATCTAGAACATTTGTGAATAGAGTGTATATGTAATATCACTACATTAGCACCATTGCAAACATTTATGAATAAGACATGCTAAATACACGTATATATACAAGAAATGATAAAATCTATGACAATGTGTGGGCAAAAGGTTCAAAGTAATGATGTCATTGCTATCACTGACATTTTTTTCTATAAATTCCACAGTCTAATAGGTTTTTTCATTTCTTTTTTTTAGATAACACAGTTTTACATGCTTCTGACTGGTTATCCATGCAGGTAGAAAATGTGTTAATAACTATTAAAGTTGTGAATTAATTAATTATATAATATAAACCAAGCATTAGCTCCTTAGCAATCCAATTTTATAATTTTATTTTCAAATTTATTGAAAAATTATTGACACTTTAAAAAAATTCACAGTCAATCCCTATTTGGTGAAATTTTAAATACTGTAATGATCAAACTAGTGAATGGATTTAAGAAAAAAAAATGTCATCAAAATCAAAAGATTAATGCCTGTTAAGCAAATCATCCCAAATTTTAAACAGCTATTTTAAGTTTTAGAAGTTTTAGGTTGCCTTTTGCATTAATGTAAATATGCATGTTAGAAAATTCCATTAAAATCAACATGTTACATAATGAAAGTTGAGGATGTGTTTAACTTTTATTTGATACTTGAATCAAATTCACAAAAGTCAGCAACACTCCATCATTCACTATATATTATGGACCTTTCATGGTTGTGGATAGCATTTTTGACATTTTGACCTACTTGGGTACATGGCCACACTGATTTCTTTATTTAGGTTTGCCATCTTGACTATTTTAACTGAGCACAAGTCAAAAATTGTTTTATAAAAATAAGTAGATAAAAAGAAAATAAAAAGTAAAATGGCCTGATCAGATATTTTAATTTCATAATTGTCAATGACATCTAGACTCACCAATTCTTTTATCAAGAGTCTGCAAGCATAACACAAGGCTGATATCACCTCCTCTCTTGTTAACCTAAAATAAAGAATCATCATTGAATATCCATAAAATATTCTCTGAGTATGTTAATTGAAGAAGGAAAGCTACTCTTACATGAAATTTCAAACACATAAGACCTGTGAGCAATAGCATTTTTCTATGGGAAGGGGCATATGAATAGACTGAAAACAGCTATATGATTGTATAAAATTGTACCATATAAATCAGCAATTAGTTAATTAACACTGGTATTGGAGCAATTTATCAATAACTAATGAAGTGAACCTTACATTCAAAAAACACTTTATAGCAAATATTCCAAACATTGCGTTATGTGTAAAATGTACGCAGGAATCAGGAGTTATTGTTCACAGTTCTTTGAAACAACAAAACACATAATCAAAAAATATCCTTCCTAAACTAGTAAATAATAATTGCAAGAAACAATGCATTTAAAAAGAGTAAGAGAAAAAAAAATTAGTGAAAACAAAGGGAGCACTTCACCCTTAACACAGTCAAACATTCTTCATCCGTTTGACTTACTTTGGATCACCACACCCATAACACTCTTTATCAGTTTGACTTACTTTAGATCTGTTGATTGACAACTCCCATCACCCCGCCCACAACACTCTTTATCACTGTTACAGATAGACAGAGTCACACTACTACAACGCGACACAGTCTCCGAGAACTGGACAGCACTGAGGGCTGATGATGGAGGCACATCTGTGTCCAGGGGTGCCTAAAACGACAAAAAAAAGTTATCAGTTTTTAAAAAAAAAAATCTTTTTAATTTATTTAAATCTGTTTTTCCGTTTATTAGTGTGTTATATCTTAGTGTGGAGCATATGGCTCCATTGTCATAGGTGTTTGGCCAGAAACTCAAAGGTTACTGGTTCAAGCCTTACATTGGACACTTGAAGTTGCATGTGAGTCCTTAGACAATGCATTTCATTTGTATTTATTCCATCCAGCTTTAATGATGGGTACCATCTTATGCTGGAGAGAAAACCAGAGGGTGTCCAATCCAGGGCTTGGAGGGGGGGGGGGTGTCATTGATCATTGACCATCATCTGCTTCCCACCACAGACGTAAGTATAAGCAAACATCTCATAGGTCATTTGGATTGTTAAAAGATTTAGCCTTAATTTTTAATTTCTTTTGTACTAATGTCAATTCATTACTTACAGACAGTGCCAACAATCTTACCTAATTCTATTGGTTTTCAATTATTGTAGTAAGTTCTAATGTTCTGAAAACACTATCTGGTAATGTAAATTTTATTTGAATTAAATAGGGATCACATGCAGAATTGCTCATCAGTACACTGCAATTTTGTTTCAATCAATTAACAGGTTGGCCATTTCAAAATATAATTTTTTTTGTCAGTCCTTATGTAAAGAATGTATCTATTCTAGTTTTTTCACCCATAAGTGCAACTATAATAAACTGTCTGACTTTTAAGTATTAATTCTCAGTTACATGTAATTGGTTAACCAGTTTATAGCAAATGCCATCCCTAATTTACATGAAAGACAATTTAAATTAACACCTGACAAACAGCGCACTGACTCTCTGTGTCCTTTTTCTTTTCCGTGTGCAACTTTTCACCAGTCCTAAAAATTTATTTAAAAAACAAAGACAAAGGATGAAGTTAAGTTTCATAAACATTCAATAGAAAACCACAGGTTTTGAAGGTAGAAATATTACAATTACTTAATAACCTCATGATATTGCCTATCTTGATCACATTTTTTATCACTGTGTAGGTATACCTCGTTATGTTGCTGGTTGTTGAGGGATAGTCTGCCTGCAGCCCTGTCACAAACTTCTCTGTAAGGTGCTCTATACTTATACTGTCAGGGGCCTAGATCAAAGAACATTCTAATATACATGTATGTGTACCAACAGCTTCGCAAACCATGGTCAAAATATGCACTCCAAACCATGGCTTGAGACAATGATATACCTGTACCACAAAGTTAATTTTTTTTTTTCATTTACAAGATTTTCAAGCCAGTGTTTCTTTTGGGGGTAATATAAATTATATACATTATATACTGTATACAGGGTTATTTTCACCCCCATGTTATTTTCGCCCTTTCATACTTGCAAACAATTTTGCCCCATTTTAGATTCGCCCAGTCGTAGTTTTGTTGTAGAAATTATACTGTATTCTTTGAATTTGCCCCATTTTAAATTCACCAAAATGAGGGTAGGGTGAAAGGGATCCCTGTATACAGTATTGATCTCGGATCAATAATTAAAACAAAATTTAAAACAAGCTATTTCTTTCTTGAAAATCTAAAAACCAAGAATTTCCAAAAAGCCATAATTACTGAACTTACATCTAACTACAAGAACAACTCAAGAATATGCATTGCACCAAGTAAAATCAACTTCTTTGACATAGGTCTTTCATAAATACATAAATTCATAAATACAGACAATTAATTACCTTGGTAGTAATTGTCGGAATAAAAACATTGGGTACGTTGTTCAGGATGTTGTACATTGTGACCTCTTTACTGCTGAAGTCTCTGAAATAGGACATGAACAACAAGATAAATTAGAGACACCATAAGACTTCACAATTATAAAATTGTATAAAAGTAAAATATGAAGGACATACCTGATTGGCCTAACAATGGTGATGTCACTGCATCTTGTATCCGCAAATGCCTGTTGATGATAAGTTATGTGATAGAATTAAAGCTTGAATAGCAAACAGTCAAAAACACATTACATTATCAAATGCCTTTCACAGATTAAAATGTTCTTTCCCTCTCAATAATGTTGGTAGTACATTTAGTGTACGCAGGACTTTTTAGCTCACCTGAGCCGAAGGCTCAAGTGAGCTTTTCTGATCACATTTTGTCTGTCGTCCGTCTGTCCGTCCGTCTGTCTGTCCGTCCGTCTGTCCGTCCGTCCGTCTGTAAACTTTTCACATTTTCGACTTCTTCTCAAGAACCACTGGGCCAATTTTGACCAAACTTGGTACAAAGCTTGGGTGAAGGGGAATTTAAGTTGTTAAAATGAAGGGACATATCCCCTCGCAAGGGGAGATATTCAAGAAAAGACAAAAATAGGGTTGGGTCATTAAAAAATCTTCTTCTCAAGAACCACTGGGCCAGTAAAGCTGAAACTTATATGAAAGCATCCTGGGGTAGTGTAGATTCTAAATTGTTCAAATCATGACCCCCGGGGATAGGGCGGGGCCACAATGGGGAATCAAAGTTTTACATAGAAATATAAAGGAAAAATCTTTGAAAATCTTCTTCTCAAGAACCACTGGGCCAGAAAAGCTGAAACTTATGTGGAAGCATCCTTGGGTAGTGTAGATTCTAAATTGTTCAAATCATGACCCCCAGGGGTAGGGCGGGGCCACAATGGGGAATCAAAGTTTTACATAGAAATATAAAGGAAAAATCTTTGAAAATCTTCTTCTCAAGAAACAACTGGGCCAGAAAAGCTGAAACTTACGTGGAAGCATCCTTGGGTAGTGTAGATTCTAAATTGTTCAAATCATGACCCCCAGGGGTAGGGCGGGGCCACAATGGGGAATCAAAGTTTTACATAGAAATATATAGAAAAAATCTTTGAAAATCTTCTTCTCAAGAACCACTGGGCTAGTAAAGCTGAAACTTATATGAAAGCATCCTGGGGTGGTGTAGATTCTAAATTGTTCAAATCATGACCCCCGGGGGTTGGGCGGGGCCACAATGTGGAATCAATGTTTTACATAGAAATATAAAGGAAAAATCTTTTAAAATCTTCTTCTCAAGAACCACTGGGTCAAAAAAGCTGAAACTTATGTGGAAGCATTCTAGGGTAGTGTAGATTCTAAATTGTTCAAATCATGACCCCCAAGGGTAGGGTGGGGCCACAATGGGGAATCAAAGTTTTACATAGAAATATAAAAGAAAAATCTTTGAAAATCTTCTTCTCAAGAACCACTGAGCCAGAGAAGCTGAAACTTATTTGGAAGCATCCTGGGGTAGTGTATATTCTAAATTGTTCAAATCATGACCCCCCGGGGTTGGGCGGGGCCACAATGTGGGAATCAAAGTTTTACATAGAAATATATAGAAAAAATATGAAAATCAAAGTTGAAACTTATATGGAAGCATACTGGGGTAGTGTAGATTTCAAATTGTTTAAATTATGATCAGTGGGGTAGGGTGGGGTCACAATATGTATTACAAGGGGGAAATCTGGTAAAGAACAGAATGGCCAAAGCTTCTCAGGTGAGCGATGTGGCCCATGGGCCTCTTGTTTCTTTAAATTTTACCTACAATTTTCACTTCAAAGATATTTTGTAAAACCAAAAGCTTATCATTTTCATTCATTCAATCTTATTTTATTATGTACTTAAATTTTAGCAAGATGCAAATTTAGCACTTTCTCCTTCAAATTTTTTTTCAGGTTTTAGCGAGAAGTAATTTTAGCAATTTTAAAATGATCACTAAAGCTATTACAAATAAAACACAATTTATTTTAGCGATATTCAATTTTAGCGAGATCTAAACCCTAGTTAAAAATTCCAAAATTAAATCCTCGCTAAAAATTCTACTTATTCAGTAAGCTACTTGAGTAAAAACTTTCAATGATCTATGGGACTTACTGTATCCATGGCGACATGTGCCCCCCTGCCCTGAGCTATGTCAGTCAGGAGATGGACAGCCAGTCTGGTGCTGCAGTGACCCAACATGACCTTGGAGTAACCTTTCTTACGAGCAAGGTCAATCAGAATGTTCTGTCTAAAAAATGGATTTCAAACTAATTAAGAAAGATCAAATACCTGTAATCTTTTGTTTTTCTTGTTTTTTTGTGTTTTTTTTGCTGCTTCTCTTTACACAAATTTTACACAATAGTCCCATTTTGATCAAGAAAGTAATAGGTATCAAAACACATTACTAAACAAAATTAAAGGTATAAGTTCAAAATTATAAATTTGACACTGCCTACAAAATTTCAAAGTCGCACATTACCTATAAAAATAATGATTTCAACATGTTGAAGTAATTTATTTTGTGCATCAAATATTGCTAAAATTTAAGAATGAATTTTAACAACTATGGTATATGTTAATAATATTAAGTCTGTCCCAGGTACTCTGGGTAAGTTTTTTTTGTCCTATCAATATCTGTACCTGAGACACTTGATAAGGTCCTCTTTAGCAGTGACAGACTTCAGGGAGTTTAGAAGGCCTTTAAGCTTCTCCTCTGCCTCGTCATACTTGTGGAATTTAGTCATATTTTCCGTAGTTTTACCAGAAGTCTCTGAGGTTGTATCCATTTCCTTTGTTTCTGTTGTGACTGCAGATAACTGTGGCGAGTTTGAAGCATTCTCTCTGTCCAACTCCATAGCCTATACAAGGTTAAAAAAACAATAGTTTATTCACAATCTCAACAATAAGAGTTTTCCTTTCTAATTTTGGATTATTGTGCTTTACAAAATTATGATTAGATAAGTTCTTTGTCTTTGATCAAACAGCATCATTTGGGATTGTGCTTTAGATTAATGTATGTGTACTTATGAAAAAAATCATTATAAAGGATTGAAGAATTATTTGATATTTATGAAAATATCCTTTTGCATTCATAGTAATTGTTTTTTCTACAGTGCAACCAATTCACTAAATCCAGAGCTTTTAGGTACAAAAAGGACATTTAATTATTCAAAGGTCTGCATGAAGGGGAACAACTTTTGAACATATCCCAAAGTCTTGAGGCCAATATTTTTTTATATTTTTGAATGAATTTGCATTACCTTGTTCAGTCTTCAAACTCAAAGGGATGGGACTATGTGTGTGTTTGGGGGGGGGGGGGGGGGGGGGGGCTTACTTGTTCCAGAGCCTTGAGGTAGCAGGGGAATCCCGTTTTTTCCATGATCTCTAACACCTGAGTACATGTTGTCAGTCTCTCCTCAGCTGACATACCCACTGTCACACCCTCTACAATGGTTTGTATAATACTTTATAAATCCTCCAAAAATCCCCTCCCCTGATTTTGGTCAAAATGCCCCCTGATTTTGGTCAAAGCGCCCCTTATAGAATTGTACAGTAAAATGATGTTACAAAACCACCCCCAAATATTGGTCAAAGCGTCCCCTGATTTTAGTCAATGCACCCCCTGATTTTGGTCAAAGCGCCCCTTTACATTTTTTTCTTAGGAAAAATCGTCCGGGAACCGTCCCCAAGCAATGGTCTTAACGTTCCCGATTTTGGTCAAAGGGTCCCTTGATTTTGGTAAAGGCGCCCCCTAATATTTTTACAAACGTTACAGAATAAAACTGTTTTGTATTTATCATATTATCATCGTTTGGCAGTTACCTGAAAAAAATTCTATAAGGGGGCACTTTGACCAAAATCAGGAGACATTTTGACCATTGCTTGAGGATTGACTCGATACTTTTTTTTGTAAAAATGTATTAGGGGGCGCTTTGACCAAAAGCAGGGGACGCTTTGACCATTTCTTGGGGACAGTTAAGAATTGTTTATATAAAGATATTTTTTCTATAAAAATATATTAGGGGGCGCTTTGACCAAAATCAGGGGGCGCTTTGACTAAAATCAGGGGATGCTTTGACCAATATTTTGGGGCGGTATTTTTTCTATAAAAATATGTTAGGGGGCGCTTTGACCAAAATCATGGGGTGCTTTGACTAAAATCAGGGGACGCTTTGACTAAAATTAAGGGACACTTTGACCGGAATGTTTTTATTAGGGGGCGCTTTGACTGGCTCCCATACAAGATAGCATAACCAAACTATACAGTAAAACTTGCACTTTTAGAAAATTACAAGTTTCATTATTAAATAATTCTGATTATTTCATTAAAATTAATAATTATTTATGGCCCATAAATATCTATATCGCAACGTGTTCAATTTCCACATGCATGCATAGTTTTCATAAACAAACAGCATGGTAAGAGAGGGAAGCCTGGTATGCCTGCTACATTGACAAAGTCGACCAAAAAGAAAAAGAAACTGAAAATAGGGCTTTCAAAGCAACTTTCCTAATAAAACAATTAGTTGGGAGATTAATATAATTTTGGATGAAGACACGGAGTCTCGATGACACTCACGCGGGGCTCCCAAAGGTTCTACTCTACAGATTGTTGATACAAGCTATTGTTTCTCGTATCTCTGTGGATTTCAAAGTAAAAAAAAATCAATGTAAACTCAACATAAAAATGCACCTATGATATATAAAAATTATTGCCATTTGAAGTGCAAATTGTAATGGAACTGCAGAAAAATATTTTGTTTAGCATTTTGCCGCGATAACATGATTATATGATTTCGTAGATTCTCTAATTCTGTTAAATTTTTCTGAATGCTTTAAACAATTATTAATTTATTGAAGAGTTATTATATTTCGCTTTTGAGAAAATTGCTTTTACCGGGTACCTCATATTTTATTATAATTGTAAACCCTAAAATGTAAGAACGTGTCATTTTAGAATCCACCTGGTACAAGTAAACAGATATAAGTTGTACGACCCTTAATTTTCCGGCAGATTCTAATTACGTTAATTTTGTATGAGGTGAGAGTATTTATCTTTCTCAAACTGCTAACTTCAACTTTATACCATATTTCTTAATGATATATTGGGTAAATTTGAATGAAAAAGCACACAATATGCAGCCGTACAGTCGCTTTAAGGTAAGAACTACCCCTTCCTCTATTGTATAATGATTCATTTCAAGAAGATTAACATTTGAAAAATTTTCAAAAAAATGTCAACTTTACCATCAATAAAGACAAGTCCAGGTTGGAATCTTAACTTCTTATGTGCACGACCACTTAGTCCCTTCAAAATACAGATTAAATATTTAAAGCATAACATTTTTAACCTAAAATGATTTAAAAATATCTCTTGCATTGTATAATGTTGTTGCATTTATAATTACAGTCCATACCTCCTGGATCAGGTGTAGAAGACAACTGGAGGCCTGCCCCCCGGACACGCCCACAAGCACCCTCTCCCCATCGCGGATCAGCTTTGACTTCCCGATGGCCGCCCGGAATTTATGGGTCACGTACACCATAAAACACTCCCTACAAAAGGAAACTGCCTGCTTTAAGAAAGACTTTCTGTGCATGATTACAAATCCTTGAACATGAAATAATCTATACATGCTGTAGCAAAATCAAGCTGCATATAACAATTAATTCCAGGGTGAATACAGACAGTATTAATTAATTGTAACTGATTAAATATATATGTTTTTTTTTTACCTAAACCCACAGAAATGCTTGTGAAAATCCCAGTCTCTTTGCAAGGAATTTTCTCTTGTTAACTCCATGCAATAAATTCATTTATATTTCACAGTTCTTTCTTTTTTTCCTTCAGACTTAACAAAAATGTATGGGTATATGATCTCTTTCAAGAAAATTCCTTTGGAAATGTCAGAAAGACTAACAATTTGAGAACTAAATGAACCCTGTGCAAATATAATGTTAAAGATACATTGTACATTTAAACTACACACAATACATGTATTACATACTGGGATCCTTTGTTACATCTATGCACCTGTAACTCTTGTACATATCTTCAACCATTGATATCAGCATTTAAAAGTCCCCTATAAAAGCCTCTTGTATTGTTTATTTTATTTAATGTCTTAAACAAATAATCTGAGTTCTTTGTTATTTATTTTTACTTTGATAGTTTTTCACTTTCACTGAAAAAAAATGTTTGTTTATATGGTCCATTAAATTTACATCAAAATGTTTTTGAAACCTGCACTTCATTATGATCAAAATACAAAACCAACACCTTGAGGTTATTGATAAAATTGCAGAAGATTCTCATGAGTGGAGGATCTGAACCTAAAGTGTAAACTTAAAGATATTAAAGGTGTTGCTGATCTGTTTAAGTTCATTACGAAATGTTAGAAAGACAAGTTTAGAAGTCTATATCTTGCAATTTCAATCGTGAATATGTTTTATTTTATCACTTTTTTTTTTTCTCTGATACAAAATGTTTCTGTTTAGTTGACTACTCTTAATAAATGCAGTAGTATTTTGGGGCATCTGATTATAAACTATATATAAACTATAGTATCTAAATATGGTTTTAGTATATGCTTGTGTAAATAACAAGAGGCCCACGGGCCTTATAGGTCACCTGAGTATCATGTAACAACTTTCCAACAATTGAATTGGTTCGTATTTTAAATCAAAGGCCATGAAATTCAAAATTTTGAAAGAGGCACTATTGCTTATCATGACTATACACTTAGCTTGCTTACTTTGGTTACTTAGTACCCAGGGGTAAATAAGAGTAACAAAGAGAAAATGCATTTCCACCTTATAACCAGTTGTGCACCCCACCCCACAGGAACCACTGAACCTAAGGGCACATATTTCAAAATTCTGGAAATTTCATCATAAATTTTATATCATCATAAATGGTTGATTAATACCAAAAAGCAGATATCAAAGCATTAATCTATTTTCAGACTATGTAACCTCCACTCCAAGTACCCTGACCCAGGGGCCCTGAAATTAACCATTTTGGAAGAGGCACCTTTCATCATCATCATTAATATGTACTTAGAACATTGGCATAATACCCAGGAGCAAAGGAAAAGTTTTTCGAAGAATTGATGAATTTTCACTGTATAATTGATGAATTTTCACTGCATAATCATTAGAGCCCTGCCCTAACACCAAAACTCCTGACCCTGGGGCCCTGAAATTCATGCATTTAAAAGAGGCATCCTTCCTCATCATAACTATGTACATAGTTCATTGGTTTATACTCAGGAACAAAGAAGAAAAGTTTTAAAGAATTAATTTATTTTCACTATATAATCCATAGAACCCCACCCTAACAGCTGTCTGAGCCCCTGACCAAGAGGCCATGAAATTCACAATTTTGGAAGAGACACTCTTATTCAACATAACTATGTACTTATTTAGTTTATTTAATACTCAGGAGCAGAGAAGACGATGAGTAAAGAATTATGTATTTTCACTTTATGATCAATAGAGCCCCACCCTAAACCAGAACCCCTGACCCTGGGCCCATGAAATTCACAATTTGGAAGAGGCAGTCTTATTCAACATAACTATGTACTTATTTAGTTTATTCAATGCCCAGGAGCAGAGAAGAAGATTTTCAAAGAAATAATGCATTTTCACTATAGAATCTATTTAGCCCCGTCCTAGCACTAGAACCCCTGACCCCAAGGCCATGAATTTCAAAATTTTGGTTAAGGACTCAATGCTTATTACAATCATGCAAACAATTTGACTGCTTGTTGTCCAGGAGTAAAGAAGAAGCTTTTTAAAGATTGCATTAATTTTAGTGGTTTTGGCCCCACCCCTCAGGACCCAGGGGGGCAGGGAACATGAAATTCACAATTTTTGTTCCCCTTCAGCCATAGATGCTGTAAACCAAATTTGGTTGAAATTGGTTGAGTGGTTCCAGAGAAGAAGCTAAAAATGTTCAAAAGTTTACGACCGACGTACGACGTACGACAACGGACGAAAAGAGATAGCAATAGGTCATCTGAGTTTACTCAGGTGACCTAAAAATCCTTACTCTTAGTCTTGACTGTTTTTCATTTTTATCAGCAATTGTTGTAGTTAAACAGTAAGTTTATCGTTATAAAATTTGTTTACCTGCAGAAAGCATCGTTGACTCGAGTCACTAAAACTGCCTTCTTCTCACACTTCATACAAGTTCTTTCCTCCCTACCAAAGAAAAAGTAAATTAAAGTCTTAACGATCTTAATAATCAAGGGAATAAATTTAGGGCTTGATCACATAGCAGAAGGAAAAAATAACATGCATATTAATTAATCTAATAGAACATGTAATTGTGTTTGATAAACATAGATTCTTGCTAGTGACCTTTTCTAAAAAAAACACACTTTTTCTAACAATTTTGAATATTAAAAAAAATGACCGTGGGTCAAGATCCTATTAATACAGCCTCATCTCATATGAAACCTTTGTTCAAAGAATGAGCTAACAATGTTTCTCCCTTACAACGTATGGTTATGGCCATCTTGGAATATCCACAATTGTTCTCACTTCTCTTGCAGTTAAAGAAACTAGACCAAATGTGTGTTTCTTGGGTTGTGGTAGAAATTTTACAAGATGAAGACACACACCCTAACATTCCTCAGATCACAATTTATCTTAAAATTTTTTGAAGTATGAACTTTCAATAGCTCTCCATATGAATGCAATGAATACTGAACACAACTTTTACATTTTTTCTGTCTGATATTGCATAATTTTTTCTACCATGCAGAGACCTTAGATTTGTTGTCCAAATGACAATATTAATGGGCTAAGACCATGACATACTTTTGGGTCATAAGTAATTTTTGTGGCAAACTTCTATTCTACCATCTATTTATTAAAGAGTAATTCAATGTAGACATAACTTTCATAATTAGTGATCTTGAATTCAAAGATGATGCACTAAAAGTTTGTTCTACAGCTTTCTCGATTTATTATTTATTTCTAGAATTTTACGTGCACCAATCTGTGTGTTCCTAAAATATCTTAAAAAACATTCCCAAATAAAACATTCCCTTAAACCATTTATAAATGTTAATACATGTAGCCCTTTTGGGCCTGAAATTTAAATCATCTAAAATTTCACCTACTCATTTTGGGTTACAAGATAATTTGGTCCAATGCACTTTGCACATGAATTGTCGAGTCACATGGTTTTGTTGTGGAGGTGGTTAAAGAATATATGTAAGGTCCATACAGTAGGTAAGAGCAGGCGCTGTAAGCTCTACAGATGTTTACCAACAAAGGAAATTTGGGTTGAGAGCTGCACATTGTTCAAAGAAATTTTTGAGAGTCCACAAGAAGTTAAGAATTTTTATCCCCATATGCATGAGGAGTCTGCAACTTTAGAGACTCTAGTTCTAGTTTGTCATAAATATCATTTTAAAAAAAATAGATGAACTAACATGTTTATATCATGTATATACATGTATGAAACATAATTATGCAGTTAACACAGGCTAAAGGAGTTTATTATATACTGAAAAGTGTAACATCATAGGCAGAATGCAAACCCATATTTGAGAGAGTTGTACAAAAATAAAACTGCACTCATCCTAATAGTTTCGCATCAGATATATACAATTTTTTCAGTGGGGGACACTGTAGCTCTCTGATTTTCTATCACACTTTATTCCCCGGACCAGCGAGCTGCATGCAGATCTGCACTATGGTTCAAGAAGATTTAATTGTGCAAAACATTACAAGAAAAACATCATTCTGCATCTTGGATTTGAACATTTAATGTTATTAATTTGTTGATCTCTTCATACCAAGAAAACTATAAAAAAAAATAATAATAATAATAACCTCCATAACTTTTTGATTTGAATTCGCAATCACAGCTAGAATTCTTTTGATTTGACCTTTTAAGTTAAATTCATTTCAGCATATTTAGTAATACTTATCTTCACAACATTTGCAATAATTATGTATTTTTTTAAGGCTGCATGGCTGCCAAAAATATAGCTGCAGATCTGTAGCTTTCCGAAAAAAAAATTGATAGACCGGAGAGCTACAGTGCAACCCATTGAAAAAACTGTATATTTATTGCGCACAAAAGAGTGCGCTGTTTCTCGATTTATTTCTCCATGTATTTAAACTGTCATCTCAAAATATTACTAGCTGTGTGTTCCTAATATATTCTTTCACTGTTTCCACAACAAAAAATTGCTTATACATGATAATTGTTGTTAATAGCCCTCCTGGTCCTGTAATCGAGATAGGGCTGAAACGATACGCCCCCTCCACGATACGATACGTATTGCAATACTTGTGTCACAATTCAATTTTTTCAATACGATACAATTTAAGAACGAAACTATTCATAAGGTTAAAGAAAACGTATTCAGATTTAAAAAAGAAAGAGTAAAAAGTGGTGATACAATAGAAATATACTACCAGGGGTATGCAATCTAAAAATTCAAGTACTAGCCCATGGGCTAGTGGCAGCAATAAAGTTACTAGCCCCAAGTAAAAAGTTATTAGCCCAAATATAGGGACAAAAATTAAAATAAAACAAATGTTGAAAAAAAAAATAATCATTGAAAAAGTCAGGGTACTAGGTCAATCTTTTGAAAATTAAAATTTTATTCTCACTAAAAAATTAACTCATATAAAATTAATGATTATGACAGAAAATAAAAATGAATTTAAAAAAAATATCTGAAGATCTTTCCTTTTCTGATTATTTTGCACTAGCTCATTTAGAATGAAAATAAATTCATTTTGTTTTCATATTAAATCCTTAAATACACTAGAAATATATTTCACGTGAATCACACTGATCTCTCAGTTGATTGAGTGATCGTAAATAATTTAATGAGATATCTGCTTGTATTTACAATAAACGGAGGAAATTCGGATTAGGAAAAAAACGATCGTTTTTGGAAGTAAATAAGTCAGGAAGTACTGCAAAATGGAGAAAATTATGGAGATTTATTGACAGTAGGAGCATGCTGCCTGGAAAATATTCACTGGTTGGGAATTTGATCGCAAGAAATGAGTAAAATACCGGTTGTACTTTATGTATTACAGGCGTAGTTATAATTTTAATTTTTGTTAATTGCACATCTCTGATACTTGTGGTTCTGTTGATTAAGAACACTTTATTCGTATAAATAATAGCAGAGGCAGCCTACTCTGCAACTTTACCATCCCAATTGTCTCCCTCGTGTGTGTCAAACTGTTAAAATAAGGTCGAACCCGATCTATTTCAAAGAGTTAACCAAACCCGATTATAAAAAAACGTATCGAACCGAAAATCGAGATGGTGAATCGAAAATTGAACCGAGCACTTATATCGAACAATATCGATATTTCGGTGAATCGTTTCAGCCCTAAATCGAGATCATCAAAAATTTCAGCTATCTTTACTGCCATTTTGGTTTGCAAGATATTTCAGTTCAACGCACTTCTTGCAAATGTCAACTAAGAGAGTACTTCATAGAGGAGTAAATTAGTAATTTTATTTTTGATCTATCTTTTTTGCGATTGAGGTAAGAATTCGGAAGAATTAAGCACAACTTTTTGTGGGCAATAAATATACAGTTTTTACAATGGGTGGCGCTGTAGCTCTCTGGTCTGTCAATATATTTTTTTCTGAGAACTACAGATCTGCAGCTACCAAAAATAATGCCCTAGCCTTATTTGCATGTAGGAAGCGAATTTGGACAAATAGTTCAAAACTACAAACAATCTAGTTAGAATAATCTAACTGTGTCTCGGTACAGGCCCTCACCACAGTTAGAATACCACCCATATACTCGCAATGTTGCAAAAAATTGCAGAATCGCACCGAAACGATTTTGAAGAATATAAAATGATTTGCACTGGGAATAACTACCAAAATAATCAAAACAATCCTTTTTGAGATTGCTTATGCCTTTTATCCCAAGAAATAATCCATATAAATACGAAAATCCAATTAATCTTCTCAACGTTTTTCTCTCAATTCAAATTACCTGCCATGTTTACATTCGGAACTCTCTAGATTGTTCCTAGTAAATGCACTATGCGAGTTTCGCCCGTGTTTCTTTCTGCTACATTACGAATACACGATAAAACCGGTAGGACAATATCATTTTAACGATAGAACATTCTATCTACAAACAATCCAGAGTGTTGTATGTAACCTGGCTGGTAAATTTGAAGCAAGAAAAAACGCTGAAAGAATTAGTTGAATTTTCGTCTTTGAATAAATTATTTTTTTAGGGATAAAAGGTATACACAATTTCCAAAAAAAAGTTTGTTTTGATTAATTTGACTATTGGCATGTTTGGTAGTTATTTTCAGCTTAATCCCTTTTGTATTCTTCAAATTCATTTCAGAGCGGATCCGCTCCGATTTGCTAAATAGCAAGTATATGGGCCGTATTCTAGCTGTAGTGAGGGCTTGTTTCGAGACACAGTTAGATTATTCTAACTAGAAAATGCTGTGCAATATGGGTCAGAATATTTTCACTCCGAACAGCAGAAAGATTCAATGAAACAGAACTGAGAAGCACTTGCAACGGCTTTGGCCTCACTAAAAGTCACACCTTTCTTCAGATAATGTTGATCCAATACATACACTATTTTTTCTCTCCGAACAGGAGAGATTTCCTCGCCTTCTTGAACACTGCACATGGTCTCGGTATCTGTGATGAAATTTTGTTTTTCATGCCCAATGTAGAATATATGCTTGATTCCTCCAATTTTATTTCTTTATTGCAAAACGCATAGCCGACAGAGAATTTTATTGAGTTAAAAAAGTAACCCGTACACAGACCTATTCGTCTACCCACCCAGTTTGAGTTCGGGTATCTATTCAAGGAGAAAAACTTTAAATAATGATGTGCATAGGTGGATCTAGGAAATTTTATGCAGGGAAGAAGGTTGAAGTGTGTGGACAGCACAAATTAAACACATACCCCTGGAAATTCCAAAGATGGGATCAGGTGCCTAGGAGGAGTAAGCATCCCCTATTGACCGATCACAATAGCTGTGACCCCTGAGCATTTGTCAAGTGGATAGAGTATTCTGTAGTCAAATTTATCACAAAAACAAAGGTGTAACAGTTTGTATGGAACAATGCAGCCAAAATAAGACACAATGATTGCGATCATTTATAGGTTAAGTTTACTAAACAATTGGTGCTTGGTTTCAAGATGATGTATTTTGTGGGGTTTTTAAAAATGTTTTTCTAGGTGTGTCTGAAACTCTGAATACACTCATTTAATATAAAAATGAAAATTTCTGAAAATAGCAAGTTTTTTAAACATATATTAATGTCCTTAAAAAAAGATAGAAGGTACAACAGTTGCTATCTTCAGTTTCAGTGGGTTCCATAGCTCACACTTGATTCTGATCAATATGATAATGTACACTTTTCCTATGGATATCAGGTAAGATCTAGCTTCAAAAGTGATTGAATAACACCCTTCAATGGTCTGCCAATTTGAACTTGATGTATAAAACATCCTCAATACCTGGCACTGAATTTAAAAGAAACAGAGGTGACAATTTCTTACTAGTACATATAAAATGTAGATCGAGGTACATCTGGAATTTAACACATATGGGTAGGTGCGGGAGGAGGTTTCCCCCTTCTGCTGGTGGGGGTACGGGGGTCTCCCCTGGGAAATTTTGAAAATAGAGATGCAAAATCCTGCACTCTGGCTGTATTTTGGGTAAAAATTATATGTTACTCTATGATTATACCTAAGATATTTTTCTATTTGAAAAATTCCATATTTATAATGATAGGGTATTTCGAATTACCTTTAAAGTTTACATTTTGACTTACAAAAATAACAATAATGATGATAAAACATGTTTGAAAATAAATTTAACAATTATCAAGTATATTGTTTGTAAATCATAATTATTTTCTTGCTCTTAATGAGTAATTGGTGAAATTTAATGTAGCCCTGCAGGGCAAGTTTAAAGACATGTTTGGTACATGTAGCCCGACCTCAGTATTCAGTTGTCCCGGGCCAGCGTTAGTGTCGAACCCTGTTTATTAATAAGATTCCTCAGCAAATTAAAATTAATGAGATTCTTCTTCTACAAATTAAAATACTTATTAAAAGTTCTCTAATGTTTACTCAAGATATGCTGAATTACCGTACTCTAGTGAACTATTAATAAAAAAAAACTTTTTAAATTCAATTTTAATAATATGGTAAAACATGCGTATATAACAAAGTGCCAGATGGATGATTCTGATTCATTATAAATTAATATAATTCATTATATCCATTAAGTTCACAATACTTTAAAGGTCATGGGAAATGAAAACTCATTGCAAGCATCAATTTGTTATAAGTGTTTTTACCATAACTGTGTTATGCCTTACATTTATATTAGGTACTGTTTCCGATAAGAATATTATATATATGTACCATAACCATGTTTTACTGTATAAGAAAATCTTCTATATGAACATATCCATTAATATTACTTAAGAAGTAGCTTTATATAATTCCAAAAGTGTAAAGTAATGTTTTAAACATACTTGACATAAGCATCTATGAACATATAACATTGAAAAATCAGTCTCAACACAGCTAGACCCTCACGCAGCACTTTGTGTATAGTGCTTTCAACAAAAAAAAAAAAACCCAACAACAAAAAATAAGAAAAAATTGAGTTTAATTATTTATGTCATATACATATGCCAAACATTTATTTCAACAAACTTCACCTTTACATGTAACATCTCTCCAAAGTTAATTTACAGTCAGTTTGCATTATATAACACCCCCCCCCCCCTTCCTTCCTTTTTAAAATAAAAGAAAAAAATCTGCAAAAAATACTGATTATACACAAACTCCCCCTTCCCGTTTCAACCCTTTTGGACTATTAATAAATAAAAACTTTTTGACTGTCATGAATTAAGCAATCATTGAATCCTTTTTTTAATAACTACAAAGAAGTGTTCCCACTGAAATTTAAAATATCTTCGTAGGATGCATTTTCAACATTAATGTGCATTTCCTTTCGAAATGATTTTTTTTTCATTCAATTAATTATGAAATGCATCTATATTTTTGAAAGATTTTTGTTCTAATCACATGTGCATTTCAAGAAAGGACAATGATATGTTATGCTGATCATTACAATGTAGCACTTGTCACGTCAATAATTAATTAATTATGACTCAATGTCTTCAAAAAGCAGAGTTAAATATAGGCAAAATTATCCAAGATTTTGTACAAATACATGTATATAACTAAATTGTAGAAGGTTGTGATTTATCTGTTCAAAACATGAAAATGAATTTGATATCATGCAAATTCAGTTTGACCATGTGGTGCAAAATTTAGATAAAAATCATAAATGGACAAAAAATGCATAAAGGAAACCTAGTGACATCTATTTAAAAGTTATCTCTCATTATAGAGTGGCTGGTTCACCTTAATACATGGTAATATGTCTATGCAGCATAATGAAAATATCTCAGACTTACACGTGGACATGATTTTGACATGGCACAACCATTCCTTCCAGCACATCAACAAAAACTTAATTAAAGTGCTGTCAGTTACATTTAAATATGTTCATTGTTATACAATGATTCAATTACTGAATATTTTTGGTAGTGTATTTTTCAAAATGACTCAATATTCATGAAAAGGATTTCTTTTTTTTCTTCAAAATAAAATTCAGTAAAAACACTGTGACCATTTAACATGATACTCTTATGCATAAGCATTACATGTTTAATAGCTTGCTACTGACAGTATACATTCTTTGCTTTGTGTGAAATTCAAAGCAACACAATAACTGCAGTGAAATGAAGAATTATCAAAAGAATTGTGAACCGCTTTGACCTGAAAATCATTCCCTAGGTAAAATAATACAAAGTAAACATATAAAAAAAGAAAAAAATCAATCTCCATAAGCATTTTTAAATGAAATGAGAAGTGCATTCTTTGACACCAATATTTATAAATTTGGGGGAATATCATTAATTCAAAAATCCTTTGACATTAACTACTACATTTTTCTACAAGTAAGAGAAATAGTTAAGATTAGTATGATTAAGAAATCACTCATTTCAAAAAATGAAACTTTTACACATTGTCTAATCCAAACAATAATAACATAACATTTTATCATGATAAAAAAAAAAACCCAGAAATTAAAATTATGCATTTTCTATCCAGTTATTTATTCCATTATGCTCTATAGAATTCTTCCTTTTTTACTTCTATCACTATAATTTACATGCACAACAATACAGGTGACTCTGTTCTCGTAAATGTTTATAGTTGTAAATTATTTTTCTCCACTGACCTTTCTGGTGACCTTGACATAAAACCTTGATCCAAATATTGAGTAACTATAAATATATCTTTTTCTTAGCCCCCTCCGTTTTTTCTCATTAGCAAGACATGAGCAAGGTAAATGCAATTTTTTTTTTTTAAATTATCAAACAGAAATAAGAATCTTAAAAATTCAGTTTAAGTAGTGCCTTCTAACCAGGATTTAATAAATGGAGACAATATCTGAAAAGTCTCTTTATAGAATTGCATTTCAGGAGTAAAAATATATGTACCACTTTATCATTTTCCCTCTCCAACTATTGCCATTTTTTTTTTCAAGTGGAACGGCTCATAATTCATTAAGAAATCAAAAGTGTAATTTTTTTCATGAGCAATTATCATGAAAAAATTCATCTAATAACAAACCATACATATAGACAGAAATCTGGTGCCCTATGAAAATAGTCAACAGTAATTTTCTTGAAATTAAAAAAACATCACAGCACATTATGAACAATTTTAACATGATAATAACAGTGAAACATTACATTGAATCAAATCAAAATTAAACAATTAAAATAAGTCATGAAAAGCAATTTATAACTCATATCTCAAAAACTGCTTGAGTTTTTTCGGCAATGGCAACTTATTTAGGTCTTCTTCACTAGTTAGTTGTAGTATCCTATCCCTGCAAGCATTCTGAAGAGTGGACACTGGAAAATAAAATATATAATGAACGTTTGCTTTATAATTATGACAAAATTATGTTAAAGTTATTTTTTATGTATCAGTACACTTTGCTAGAAGTCTGGCCTTTTGCATCATTTACCAAGATGGATATCAGTATTTGCATTTAGCGTGACGTCAATATATCTAACACCTTCAATAAGCCTTAACTTCCACAATCTGCATCATTTTTCTTTAACAACAGTTTAAAAATTTGTTCATCAAGTGTTTTCTCAATGATATCAATAAAACATTGAAGCAGTTAGTACATTTCACTACATTAATTATAAACCCATTAAATATGTGATTTGTATATTGACTTTTACCTCCATACAACTGGATAATTCGTACTTGTTTGGTTGTACCATAGACATCTACCACAGCGTGTAGGTTCCCCCCTTGGTAAGGAATGTAGCGGGCACACGGCCCCTGGTCCTCCCCATTAATGATAAACCTCATTTCCGCAGTGTCCCCGTTCACTTTGTACATAATCCCAATTCTGCTACCTACGTCAGTTGGTAACACACTCTTTTTGGGCACATGATATGAATTATTTCCACTTTTATTCGAAGGGAAAAGTTTTCCTAATGGTAATAACAAGCTCCTACTGAATGACCCCTGAGGAGTCTGTACAATGTCCGTGTCACCCACGACGGATTGGTAAGGTTCATCTCCATTATCACTGTCGTCTTCCTCATTCAACATCACTTTATTGTGCGATTTAGTCACAGCAAATATCCATGATTTTCCCATGTTATGCAGGTCTGGGAGTGCATACTGCGGTAACTCAAACTGATCGGCAGGATTAAACTGAGTCAGACCTATCCTCATGTGCCCACTCCATCCCCGTTCGTTTTTCTCTATCTCGACGAGAAATATTTCACCTGGTCGGAGCGGCTTCTCGCTGAATGTCAGTGCATGGGCAAAGCTTGTTTCCCTGTATGCCACCATGTTGTCATGGAGAAGGCGAATGTTCTGCCCATGGTAAGGATGAAATCTCGTCATGGTCAGTTACATGTAATCATTATCTACAAAAGTATTCCATAGTGTAAATTACAACATAAGTAGTGCATTAAAATATCAATTTGTAAATTAAAATTACAATGTCAAACTTGAAGAAGTTCATGCTTATTTTTCACAACATAAACTGTAAATCATGGAGATTGCATGCATAAGCTTTAAAACTTTACCCTTCAGACAAAGTTTACTGTGTAGTGTACTTATTAGAGTACAAATTTTCACTCACAACAAACTGAAGATAATGAGGTTTTATCTAGTAAAATTTTGAAGAATTCAGTTGAAATAACATAAAAATAATGACAAGTAAACAATTTTATCAAAACCAGGGACCTATTTACTAAGTATAATGTATATAGGTCCCTGTCACAACAAAATGCATACCAAAAAACGAAACAACTTTTTTGTCAAGTTTCTCAATTCTTTTTTGTTATCAGTCCAAAATTTTCTGCCATGGAGCCATTTCAACTAGGGTAATATTTTATCTCTACCAGTCTTGTTTTTTTTTTGTCATATTGTCAACATACTGGATGCCAATTGTTAAACTGAGTCTGCACAAAGATGCTCTATCCACAGCTTGTTCAAAGTGAGGACACAAAATTCAAACAGTACCGGTACTAGCATACCTGGTATCTTCATTTAGATAGAACGTAGATCTCTATCGATAAATTTATATAATATTTTCATACAAACCTAGTTTTATGGACATGACAAAGATCTGTCCTAACATGACATTAATATGAATAGTCCATGTTTGGAAAGAAACAAATACCAATCTCATTTTTGATATTTGTCACACAAAAAAATTGCCACTGTAACACAAGGTGTGAAAGAAAGTAACAAATCACACTTTATATCAAAAGACGTGCAATTATACATAAAGGCAAAATACAGGTTCATTAATGTATAGCATTCTCATTTATTCCTCTGTTGTTCACACCTACCCACTTACATGCTAAATATTTTACTTTCGGCTTTCAACTAAAAGTACAAGAAATGCGTTTTATCCCTTCATACCTCTAAATACTAGATGAATGTACAAATGAACCATGTGCATTAATGCCCATGAAGAAAAGTCTGTAAAATCAGCTCAAATATATGGTAAATGTGTATTTCTCTCTGGAAAAAATACATCTATCGCATATGGACCGTACCCTATCAGGCCTATGAGCAAATACATAAAATATACTGCTTCCGGTTCATGAATATAGTACGTTCATTGTAATTGGCTTATTTGTTTATCATTGACCAATGAGATTAAGTTTCACTCATAAAGCTTGCCGCTTTAATCAATGTGAAAGTAGAGGAAAAGGAACATGTTTGTAACAAAACAGATTGAATCTGAACACAAAGATTTAATACACGATGTTTCATTTGACTTTTACGGTAAACGAATGGCAACATGCTCGAGCGATCAAAGTGTGAAGGTGAAAATTTCATACATGTAGATCTAAAACCAAAAATTGTCATGGTTTTTACTCTAAACCAAAAGGTTGCATGGGACCTGTTACACGTCCATTTCAGCCTCTTTGATTAGCTCTACAGCTCTAGGTAGATATTTAGCGTTGGTAAACTTTAGGTTTTGACTTTAACAGTAGCTCACTAGCCCTGGAAAACTTGAAAATTGAGGCCAGAGTACTAAAAATATCACGTCCCACTGGTGTTTGGGTCTTGGTTTAATATGTTTTACGGCGTGATGTTTACCATCAAAAACACTTGAGATCAGCCACTACCAACGTCAAGCCGCACGAGACTTCTCGACATGCTCATAGGCGCTCCCCATGTAATTCTGTAAATGACGTATGATAAGTATATATAGGTCTACCCCTCTATACTATAAAATATCCAAGGCCTGCAACTGGGCGCCATTGTGGATTTCGCATGTCTGACTGACTTACTTTAAGGGTTTCTGGGGTGTACTGGGCTGGTTATCAGCATCGGGTACTGTAATTTATTGAAATAAAATATTTGCAAACTTTTATCCAGCACCATTCCGTTGCTTTCTCTTGTTTTCAAACATTTCTCTATTACACCGTCACACCTAGCTGATCTCGGCCGGAAAAGTCGATTTCGTCGATTTTCAACAACTCGTACGAAAATAACTTTCGGAAGTTTGACAATATTTAGTGGGGAAAGTACATAGGCGCTTGGTTTCAGGATGGTGCATGTTGTGTATTATGTGTTTTTTTTGGTTTGTCTGAATACCCTCATTAAATAAAAATGAAAACTCGCTGAAATTAGCACGTTTTAAAAATGTCATATGTACAGTATATATACTCTCATAGGCACGTACATGTAGCATCGTTTTTGAAAGTGAGGGGATGGGGGGCTGCTAGAGAGAAACATTTTTTTTTCACTTACCTGTAAAAGTTGACGAGCCGAAAAAAAACGCTCAAACACGAAAATCCTATTTCGGGGGGGGGGGGGGGGGGGGGGGGGGGGGGGGTAGTGGCCAATTTTTTTCAAAGCCAACTTCCTTTCACTTTCATTTTTTTCCCATACAATAGTACATTTTCCTTCATATCGCAATACTATGGTAATAAGTGTGTGTGTGTGTGTGGGGGGGGGGGGGGGGCACGCACATTTTCAATAGTAAAGGTAATGTTGGGCAAAAAAAGTTTTATGTCTAGCTCAAAAGAAAATAAATCAGATTGCATTAAATCGTGTCTTTTCAAGAGAAAAAAAAAACTAAATATGACATTTTTAAAACGTGCTAATTTCAGCGAGTTTTCATTTTTATTTAATGAGGGTATTCAGCAAACAAAAAACACATATACACAACATACACCATCCTGCTAAATATTGTCAAACTTCGCACGAGTTGTTGAAAATCGACATCCCGAGATCAGCTAAGTGTGACGGTGTAATAGAGAAATGTTTGAAAACAAGAGAAAGCAACGGAATGGTGCTGGATAAAAGTTTGCAAATATTTTATTTCAATAAATTACAGTACCCGATGCTGATAACCAGCCCAGTACACCCCAGAAACCCTTAAAGTAAGTCAGTCGGTCCCAGAAATCCACAATGGCGCCCAGTTGCAGGCCTTGGATATTTTATAGTTTAGACCTATATATACTTATCATACGTCATTTACAGGGGGAGCGCCTAACAAGCTGTGACATCATACGGTGTTGTGGCATGGAAACTATAGAACTAGTGCAATTTTTGTTATTTTTGTTTCTTTGAAAGATTTCTAAGGATATATGCTTTAAATTATTTATTTATTTATTCATTTCGCGCAAAGGACATTGGGTAGTGCAGATTTCGAGAAATTTGGCTGACGTATGTACAGATTTCAATCCGAATTTTCTTTGTTCTTACACGTTAGTCTATTGAGCTCGCTTCGCGCTCGCTATAAATAACGTATAATATCTAATATGTTGATGGTGCAATCGTTCGGGCAAACACAGATACTTCTATTGTTTTAATTGAGATTTGACTTGTCAAACAGCGCATAAGTCATTTGGTGCGTCTAGACACTCATGACTGACGTCACATGATGAATTCATGTAAGTTGCATTCCCATAAAGAAGCCTGAACAGTGCTGAAAGTTAATGAAGAATGTTTCTTTGACTATTAATCTTCAACATGATATGTAAAATCAAGGCAAGTTAACTTTTTGTTGATCCTTTTCGGTAATTCTTTCAAGAACATAGCTTTAACAAGTGATGCATTGTGGGTCAGGGATTTATCTAGCTTTTTTGTTTTATTACCGTTTTATATGTAAAGGGGAAAAATGAGAGCACGTTAGCGCTGGGGGCGCAGGTTGAAAATTTTTAAATAAATGGAGCAAAAATCCTGCATTCTTGGAGCTTCTGAGGGCCATTTGTAGACCTTTACAAAGGCCAAAAAAACTCGACAAAATATAAATAACCAAAAAAAAAAAAATTAAACCAGCAATACTTTATAATTTTTTCTCTCAATATCTATACAAATCAATTCTGTTTTTCCTGATGTTTTTGTTGTTACTCCATTCTTCCGATCCATAGTGATATAAGCTCCGTCTTACTCATCTACACTTTTCTTTTTAACTCTGCAATCCACTATATTTTGACATATTGTTTTATCATTGAGATTTGACTCTCTCTTTTAAATAGTCTCGTTCAACCAGACAGCTGTCTCCGTAAGTCATTTGGTAAAGATACGTGATATCGTTTGTAACGCCAAAACGAGGCTTACCAAAATTCTGGTAAAGTTTTTGATTGGCTGAAAAAGAACACACCTCCACAATTTAAATAAATGCATGGTAAATCGACAGAAAAATAACTTAAAGTTTTAAAAGTTAAATGTCTAAAGGTTAAAGCGGATAAAGAGGAATAATTTTATTGTTTACGGTAATGTCAACGGGTTATAGGTAAGTGTGTTTTATAAAATGTCTTGCATTTTTTTTTATTTCCGGAAGCTAAAGTGAAAGTAGTGTAGCTACCTGCGGAATACATATTTCTTCGACTGATATTGTAATTACTCGTTTTTTGTCCAAAATTAAAGATCAGTTTATTAATATAAACTCACAATCTAACAGAAGAAACATGTTAAATATTCGTTTCAAATAAAGGTCATCAAAATGTAAACAAGATCTTCAACAAACGCTGATATCTCTGTAAAATCAAGGCAAGTTTGAACTTTTTAGGATATGCTGTTAAACTTCTTTTCAGTACCATGTTTTAAATATTCTCTGTTTAGTTAAGAGAATTTTCATAAAAGGGGAATTTTTTCTTTTTTCAACAAGTGATGCAGCCTTGATAAATCCCTGTGGGTCCAGAATAATTGTGAAAAAAATCATTTGGAACAATGTGCAAAGTCTGAATTTTCTCTTTGCCCAGGTGTTGCTTTAGGAGCTCACAGTGACGAGTGGTGCTTTGTGCCACTTGCTCAGCTGGGCTCGCTATTTAATCTTAAAAGAGCAAAGACATGCATGCAGGCTCTGAAATGGTGTCTCTTTCACTTGCTTGTTTACATGGCTTCTGCTATAAAAATAACAATGCAACTATTCCACTTTATGCAAAGAGGTTTCTAGGTATATTGATTCCTTATCATATAAATCTTAATATCTTGCATATATTTGTAATGTACGATTTTTCAATACATTTTCAACTTTTCATTAAAATGCCTAGAACCAAATGCAAATTGTGAAATTACAGACTAAAAAGAATGTAAACTGGCCTTGTAGACATTTACTGGCACACTGTATAATTATACAGGTATTCCTGGAAATTTTAATATAACTTGAATTATCTCAGAAATGTTTTTAAGTTCCCGGAATTTTTTTTTTAGGTGAGATAGATTGTTGGCTTAGAAGCTACTGTGAAAAGAACTATATATAGATCAATTAATGTACATACACAGTCTAAATTTTCTCTTTGCCTATATATAGGCATTGTTCAAAGAATTTACAATGTGCAATGAGAGCAGCATTTTGTGCAGCTTACTGTGCTCCGTATTAGTATTTTCATGTAGCTGAGGTAAAAGTAAAGGACCTAAGAAATGTTTTCATTTTTAATTATGCTTTAATTCTTTTTACTTTAGGTTTGGGATCTTGGAGAAGATGGAGAATGGAAATGTACAGCAAGCTGGAAGGTACATTGACAAGAAATAAAGCTTTACTCATTCAAACTTTAGGAAGATTGTCCCATACTAGTACTATTAGAATCAAATTTTAAGATAAATAAGCTAATACAGGTGAAATACAAAAACAACATTTTATGTTTGTTTGTCAAAGTGAATTTGATACTGTAGATTCCTAAATACATGTATACGCATGGAATTAATTATTGCATAATTTCGCGAGAAGCACCCCACACAGAATAAAATTACTCTCATTTATTTTTATGGTGCTGAAATCTATGTAAAATCTCTTTATCAACTGTCCATTTGCGAATTATTATTCTCGTGATTTGACGTTGAAGAGCCCATTCGCGATAATAAGTACTCGCGAAAAATAAGGAATCTACAGTAGATGAAAATTGAGTGATTTTTAATTAATATTAGCTTGTCATGAAATTAGTTTAGTGAAGCCTTGTTGAATTTGGTTAACACAAATGTGAATACTAGTATTTGCTTGTAATTATTTTTTATACTCCAGTAACCATATGAGAATGCTGTAAATTTTTGCAAGCCTTTGATTTTGATATCAGTTCTGATGATAGAAATACTCTCTGTCAATTCCATGAAGTATATAAGGCTCATAATGTTATCAGTGTATTTGATCAATATGAATATAAGTGAATTATAGCATATGAATTGAAAATCTCTTAATTTTTTTCAGACACACAGTGGTTCAGTCTTTAGGGTAACCTGGGCCCACCCAGAGTTTGGACAGGTGCTGGCCACCTGTTCCTTTGACAGACAGGCAGCAGTGTGGGAGGAAAACTTTGGGGATGTAAGCAGGGAGGGGGTGAAGAGCAACTGGATCAAAAAGAGCATTTTGGTAGACAGTCGCACGGCAGTCACTGATGTCAAATTTGCTCCAAAACATCTTGGGTTACAGTTGGTTAGTGGAATGCTGTCTTATTTTCTCTTATTTATTGTACTGAGATTTAATCATGTAGTTGGAAATATAAATGCAGTTGAAGTTCAGTATCTCAAACACTGATATTTTGAGTACTATTTACATGTATATTTTGAAGTGATTATACACTGAATATCTTGAATCCTTGGATATCTCAAAGCTTTTTCTTGGTCTCATTGAGTTTGAGATAACGAGGTTTGACTGTTCTGATCTTTTCAGTTCTGTAATTATGTGGTTGTTCTTGCTTTTTTTTATAGGCAATTTGTTGCTCTGATGGTATGGTAAGAATTTACGAATGTCCAGATGTAATGAACATAAGCCAATGGTCTCTACAACACGACATACAAACAAAGTTCAAATGCAGTTGTCTTAGTTGGAATTCTTCAAGGTAAAAAAAATACAATATTAAAAAAGTACTAAAGGTTAAAAATGTTCAAATCAGTGACAGGCCACTTTATTTCTTTGATAGATACAGAAAAACTTAGATTTAATATTAGATTAATGAAGATCTTCCTCTTTTTTCTTTGCCTGAAAGTTTCATAACTTTCACATTTATATGGCTTACATTGCAAATTTATAACTTAAAATAAAGACCTTTTTTATTATATATTTTAATTTATTTGTAACAGGATGCACCCTCCAATGATAGCGGTGGGGAGTGATGATAACAATCCATCTGGTGGAGGGAAATGCCAGGTGTTCGAGTACAATGACAGCACCAGGTATGTCCTTTCTTGTGGGAAATAGGATAATGTATGTATACCTACTACTGTAGATTCCTTATTTTTCGCGAGTACTTATTATCGCGAATGGGCTCTTCAACTTCAAATCACGAGAATATTTCGGGAACGGATTATCGACAGAATTAACATGGATTTTAACGCCAACAAAATACATGTGAAAGCGAGTAATATTATTTCGTGAGTGATTCTTATCGCGAAATTATGCGGAAATTGAATCTTCGCGTATAATTAGGAATCTACAATAATGTATATACATACATTGTATGTATTGTATTGAAAATTAACACCTAACCTGTGAGAAATCTGATAATGTATGTACATACACTGCATGTAATGTATTTAAATTAAATAACTACAAATTGCATTGAATTTGCACGTTTTAAGAATAAAAGGTAGTTTCCTTAAGGTCAGACGACACGTTCATCAAATTTATGTTTTGTATCTCGTGGTGTTATATAAAAAATATTCATATTTGTTGTTCTCTTCTAATTTCTACATTGTTTTCAAAATGTTTTTAAATAGAAGTACATCAAAAAGTTGTGATATAGGCCATTCGGAAGATTACCCATAAGGGTTATATAAGAAATATGACCCTGTGGTATCTTGTCCAAATGACTGGTAAGGTACCCTAATTTTTTTGTGAGGAAGCTTGTTTTAGTACCTACACTTCATTGACAAATTCTTAGGAAAAATTATATATTTTTGAGGAACGTGTCGTCTGACCTTAATTTGAGTAAGCAATCAACAGCATTTGAGTTTATTAGTTTTATGGTCACTTGGCATATTGACATCATATGTGCAAGATCTTCAAAAGCAGTAAAAACAGTTAAAATCTAAGTTATATCATATGATAAACTGAATTCAGACTTGAAAATAATGAATGTAGATAGCAACAATTAATCATTAGAGTAGCATGTGTCAACACCTTGACAAGTGGAAAGTTTTTGATCTTTGAAATGAACGTGTTAGTAAATGATATAATGCCTCGTTATCTTCCAATAGCTTGACAGACAGAAAAAAGCACATGATAGTTTTCAATATTTTTTCTTCTCTTTTTTAAGGAAATGGACCAAAGTGGAGACAATAGTAGCTGTCACTGATCCAGTACATGATGTGGCCTTTGCTCCAAACCTTGGTAGATCGTATCATCTGTTGGCCATAGCATCTAAGGAACTAAAGATTATCAGTCTAACTCCACTTGGGTAATGCATTGTGCTGTGTTCTGTTTCATTTTGCTAATGTGATTGATCTCCAACTGAAATTTGTTTTTGTTAAGTTTTTATCTTTGGAAAAAGAAGATCTAATTGAGAGAGAGCCAGAGAAAAAGAAATAGTTGAGAATAGGATGTATTAAAGGCATTTGATGTTAATATGTGTCAGAGATTTACATAGTTTGGATTAAAATTTTTTGCTGCATTTTTTGAATTTTGTTTTCTCTTTCTTTTATTCTTTGGTCTAAATATAAATAATTTTACATACAGAAAGTCCTTGTGAATTTTACAAAAAAAAATTTGAATTACACTGTACCTTTTATCTGGAGAGGGTATGAAAACTATAAGTTTTGAAATTTTTGCCTCAAGGAAAAAAAATCCCAACAAAGTATGTTTAATATCAGCAAAAATGTAATCTACTGATGAAATTATCTTGTTGTTTTGTAGCAGAGATTCTGTTATTGGAAATCAGGCAGTGGTCAGCAGGTTTGAAATGAAGCAAGTGGCCAGTTTTCCAGACCATGAATCACCGGTAATAAAAAGATTCTGAATTACAGGAAAAGAGTAAGAAAGGACAACTCTGATGTCCAAAATAGTTTCTATATTTACTAATTTAAAGTCCATTGAGACGGAAAAGCAAAATTTGTTATCTTTTTACAGGTATGGCGAGTCAGCTGGAATGTAACAGGGACGGTGCTATCCTCCTCAGGGGATGATGGCTGTGTCAGGTTATGGAAAGGTAAGGATTGTCTTCATAATAGTAGGGATTATATGCAGAGGATTATGCCACTTTCATATGTTGGCATTTGATTAAGGGACTAAAAATTACTTCCCATCTTTGATCCAAGGACATGCATTCAAATCCTCACCCCATTGTCAAGTATTTAATATTTTTTCATTAAAAGTTTTTGTATGTTTTTCTTCAGTTTTGATAAAAAAAACTTGCAAGCACATACACCCCTCCCCCTCCCCCCCCCCCCCCCCCCAAAACACACACACATACATGCACCCAGCCCACCCCTACCCCAGGCTCCCATTCTGTCTTTTTTTCCATTCACTTCAGCGTTTTTTTTCCTTATATAACTGGTACCGATAAACGGCACCGTTCCCAATGCCAAAAAACATTAAATTTTCCCAATTCTGTGACTAAAATTCCCAATTCAACTGTGATGCAACAGACTGCGATGAGACTACGACGACATCGTATTTTTTGTTAAATGAAACATTGTACAAGTTGACTAATTGTTTCACTTCCGCTTAAATTGAAAGTAGAGAAAGTCGTAGTTTGGGGGGACCTGTGGGATAGACAGCGTAGTGTCATACATTTTGACAAATTGAAAGCATGAAAATGTGAAAACATGGGAGGTTGATATAAAAAACTAAGTACTTGTTGCTTATTCTTTAAAACAAGGAGTAAAAGGTAATTTATTTGGAATAAATGTAAAATACGTTGCATTTGCATAAATGAGAGAAAATTCTCCTGTTTTTCCTCTATGTTATTTTTCCCAACTGAACCTGTACCGGACCCTTTCCCAATGCGTGGAAAAAAATTGCTGCACTTTATGCATTAGCATCTTCCACAGGTCATAACTGATAGGACTCAATTAGAGGGCAGTCTTGCTTCATTAATAAACTCTATCAAAGTTTTATAAAAACTTTAATACAAATGATATATAATATGCTGCAATGTTTTTCTCAAACACTTTCAAGAAAGATGATTACTTTATCTAGGAAATTTTTAATAAATTAGAGCCATAGGAATTTTATTTTTAATAAAATTTTTCAGAGCCATGAACAGGTAGTGGAATAAAAGCTCATAATTTGTATTATTTTCAATAACAAAAAAAAAATATTTTCATTTAATCTTAGTAATAGCATAATAACTTTTAAAGTAGCATTTGTACCAAATTATTTAAATCACCTTATACTGGCAATGTACTAACAAATCTCTCGTTTTTGACACCATTTTTATAGTAAAACCATTGTCTTTCAAAGAAATTGGGGGATGTGTGTAATAATAGAGAAGCCAAAAAAATTGCATGAACAATTTATAACAAGTATAAAACCTCTGAAACTAGAAAAAATGGAACAAACCTAAAAAAAACTATTTTTGTGTTAGGAAAAGGGGGGGGGGTGTGCCTCCAATGACTTGAACATCAAGAGAGAACATAAATGACATTCCATTAAAAAATAATATTCTTGAGTTAATGAATATTTTGAATGCTTTAATAACAATAATTTAATTTGTTTTAAAATGCTTACTTGCAGCAAACTATCTTGGAAGGTGGAAATGTATATCCATAATCAAAGGAGATGCCTCTCAGAGTCGCTTTGACAGAAACTTAAGTGCCAACCCCTCACAGATCCCCATCGATGGTGTAAGGTACATACAACAAGGGCCTATGCAAAATGCTAACCAAGTGGTCTGGCACTGAGGCTCCTTAAGGAGAATTTATTTGTTAAAAAAAAGATCTTACCTATTGAGATTGCAGTCAATTTTATAATTCTACCATCATAATGGTTGTGAAAAAGTGAATTGATTTTTTCAAGATGAAATGATCAATGTTGTTGCAAGAAAATGTGATACAAAGTAGAACATTGACAAAATGTGCTTTGGTTGTTGATAACGGATTTATATTGTGTTCAGCCAGCAGAGCAATGAAGACTTAATGAGGATGAATATAAAACGGAATTCTGGATGGCCATCATTTCACACGAAGAAGGACCAGGGAAAAACATATTACTGACCCTGATCACCTGGGTAGGAAATGGAATACGTGCCTCATCCAAAACATTCTAGTCTTACTTACAATATATCATATACGGTGAATATTGTCAGTGTGTGAACATTCCAGTTTAATGATGTTTTATATTGTGGAGAAAAGATTGCAGTGATCTAAGCCTTCAGAGCTCTTGAATGAACTGCATATTACCATTGTTAATTAAGTCAAATGCTTTGCTTACTACTTATATACCTCTATGGAAAGATTAAAAAGTATACAATGGAGAAGAATGTTGGGCATAAATCCAGTGAAGATTCATGAATGAGATTGTCTACTCATGAGGCATGAAAATTTTTGCAAATACTTGAACTTTAACATTTTAAATTTCACTTTTATGTCATTCACATTGTCTTGGTATGAAAAGTAATTCATTGCAGTCATCTGTGTAGAATTTCAGAAATGGAATATTAATAATTTTTCAGATGTTGACTAATACATGTATTTGGATGATAATGTTCCTTTATTATCTTAAAAGGAAAGGATGAAATTTGCCATTTGTTAAAAAAGAAAATGCAGAAATTGAATTTTAGGAGAATCTGTTATTTATATTTGCATCAAAAATGTTACAAAATATTAAATTTATTATGCTTATTAAAACTGTGAGTTGTAGTGTCATTGATCATGTTGATGTTAACAATATTTATTTGTAAGAATTCCAAATGGTATGGTCCAAAATTGTGCATTAACATTTTTTTTTGTCAGAGTCACAGTAATTAAGGAAAATTGGAGAATTAATTCATAATAACAATAAACAGCAAAGAACAAGAGAAAATAGGTGTGTCAGACTCAAAGGTCAAGGTCAGAAAGTTAAAAAAGTGATATCCAAGAGAAATCCTTGTCACAGGGAAATTCAATACACTTGGATCATGTACATACAGCCCTAAGACCGACCAAAGGTATTGCCAAGATTATTGTATTTCAAAAGTAGGTCAAGAACAAAACTTGATGTTCAAAGTTTTGAACACGACTTTCTAGTTCTACCATTTTCTATTATTTTCAACAAAAAAAAGGCTTTAACCTGATAGAGCCATATTTTGCATAGTTGAAGCAAGGACTTCCATCTTACAGGTATATTTATTCCTGGGTTCTTTCACATTTCACATGTCCATTGGAGGGTAGATGGGGCACCAACACTTTTGATCCCTTGACCTTGGAGTTTTGTATATTAAATTTCTACCAAAAGTACCATTCAACATTTGCATCTCACTCTCACTATAACCATCTATGTTTCATGGGCAAAAAAGAAAGAATGTTGATTTTGCAATCAGAGTATCAAGACATTCCATATGACCACAGTTGACAAAAAAATTGTAATAAATATGTAGATGGCTAAAGATTTTTCAAATAAGCAATTCAAAGATGAAATGGTTATGCAGCAGAACACAGCGCATTCTATCCGTCAATGGAACAGATAAATATGGTATAAATATTGGAGATTAGTAAATTAAAAACCATGCATGTATGGAACATGCGGGAGTAAATAAAAGTCAAAAAATGTTACCATCGTGGTTTAGATTAAAATTATTGCTGTGTGTTTCACTTCGTGTATATTGCACATTAAGAACTTAATTACTGTTACATGTAAAATAATGTGCAGATCAAGATTTTAAGGTACATGACATTGGTTAAGGGGCATTCACTGCAAACTAACGTTGGCGAATAAATATCCTTGATCGAGACGCTTTTTCGTGTCATACGCTACTTTTATGGCTAGTTTGAGTTTCTGAACCTGAAGATATTGTCTAGACAATGATTTCGCTGATTGGCACTGGGTAATTTCTGCGACAATGACCTGGAAAATAATCGTAGCATTATGTGGATGTTTGCTACCTTTGCATGATTACACCAGAGGAACAAATATCTAATGCGTCTAAACCTAGCTAAGCATAGTAATTTCGATCTAAACAATGACATCATAATAATTTACCGGAATGAATAACCGATTCAGCCAAACAAATACAATTTGTCCGGACGACTTATTTTATTTACAGTCCAAATACATATAATAATTCACTAAACAGCTAAACGAATACCAAACAAATAGTGCATGTAGTCTCTATCTTTGTAGAATTTTATTATCAAACTTGATCTTAATTCAATTAATTGGAAGGCAAACATTAAAATGATGTTTGAAGTTTATTATTTTTTTTTACGTAATTATCACAAACTTCTCTTAGTTCAACTGCATTTTGAATTTATGCCTCACGGTTAAGAACATGCACAATCGTACTAACGATTTCTAAAATGAAGGAAGCTACCGACAAACAGGTTAATGAAACAAGGACATCAAAGGTTTCATTTAAAATCATTATTTATCAAGGTATATGGTAAATACAATGACATTTTCAGTAAATACAAATTATCATTATTTCATATGATGTCAAACGTTTTTCATACTATTCTTAGGTCATTAATTCCAGAATCCAGACTGAATTGTCTAACGATTTTTCCGTTATTTCCCGATCGTGACAAGAAGCATATGGCAGGTGTGGCCTGTCGACAGGGATACTTGTGTAGCTACATGTACCAACGACAAAATGGTATTTCTTCTTCACTTCTCAGTTATCGCCAAGACGTGCAGTATAATATTCATCTGACGTTTCCATTGACATTTTTGGCGTTTTGTGATATTTTACGTGCCAGTTTTCCTGGTACATAGAATATCAAAATTGTGAAGAAAATAAATCATCTCAAGGCAAAGACCCCAGTGTATTAGTTTCGGGGCCTGTTTATTTTATGAAGATAAATATTTCCTTTTATAATTAGCTATATATAAAGTTTTGAAATACTTATGCTTTAACTTTTTTCTAGTTAAAGAATTCTATGCTTATTTGGATTCTATTTTGGAAAAATCCTTTGAAAAACTTATTAATAATTTTATTGCAGTCAATTTGATGCGTTGCATTAATCTTACATTTGAAGCTGTTAACACAGTATTTATAAAATATTGTTTAAGAGATCTTTCTCGGAGGGCAATAAAAAAAGGAGGGGGGGGGGGCTATTGTATTGATTATCAGCGTTATTCTTTACAACAAAGCTAATTTGCAGTTGGGCCTCCTCAATAAATTATTTAAAAAGAAATCCAAGCTAATACCGGTATAATTCTACTAAAATATAAATTACCGGTAATCCTTTTTTACTTTATTTTATTTTATATTGATATATTTATATAGTATCATTACATTTTTTTCTCGACAACAAATTCGATAGGTTATGCTCCTCCTGTCCAAATTACTGTTTAAATGCTCATAAAACGATATTTTCCCAAGATTTTTTACAGAAGTAAATTCTTTGAAAGAGTGCAACTTTCGTACTTTAGGCCTTTCAATGAAAAAAAAAAAATCAATCAAAGGGACCTAACTCGTCTGTGAAGGAGGCATTCGGAAATACTCGGAAATATTGGGTCACTTACGTATGAAAATGACAGAGTTTATTCCGAATGAGAATCGGTTACCAAGGAAGTAGATCCTATTGTCAACAAAGAGTTGCGGAGCGCGAAAGTGTGCGGACGGTGTAAAAGAGCAGAGATAGAAAAAGCAAAATACACAAGGAAGAAAACATCCAGACAGGTTTGGTCTATACAAATATGTTTAGTGTTGGGACAAACTTCATTTATAAATGTATTTTATCTTCCGAAATCATAATACAAACCCTTAACTTGTTATAATTCATTGGTTACTATTATCAACGACAGTACACCCATAGAGAGATGCATGATATATGAGAAGTAAAGCTATGCTGGTCGGACATACACAATTTTCACGCACAAAAAGGAAGATTAGTAAGTAAACATGCAAATTTACTATGTATCAGGTTCGACAAAACTATATTTGTAAAGAAAGAAGAACATTCACTGAACAACATATTGAACTATAAGTTTCTGCTACTCTATCAACCTCTGAACCTGCTTGCATTTTACAAGGCAAAGATGTTGAATATTAATCAGTTGCCTGTATATATTTACGAGTAGTTGATTATAATTTTTTTTTTATATTTGGTGTTTGAGACATTAGTTGATGTTTGAGATGTGACCTAAAATATCTCTTAAAATTCCGGATTTTTACACAGTATCCGATCCGAACGTTATTTGTGGAAATAACCCGGATACTGTTACCATGACTTCATTCGAGTTGTAGGCCGCGAAGGCTTTGGATGCACGGGAAAAGGGGGAGGTTAAAAATAGAAATACAAAAGAGAACAACAGGTTTGGAGATCTTAATGCGTTTTATGTCAATGTTTGTATCTCATGTTTATAATTTTAACACAAAATAAAAATGGAAATAATTAAAATATCATTATTTATGCATTGTCATGAAATAAGCACAATTACCCGAACTTCTTCACCTCAAGCAGAAGAAATACATACCACGTTACAATACTCTCTAGAATGATTATATGATCTGTTTTTCGTTTATAACACACATACCACTATTACCCGAATTTGAAATTGATTTTATTTTTTATTAAGATAAATAATCAATGAAATTATTGGGCTAATATATCACTGCTAGGCCTAGAATGACATTTCAAAATGTTCAGATGGTCCAAAGTGCAAGTTAAAAAAGATATTTCCCGCTACAAGCACAACAATAACAAAAAGGTAGCAGCTACTAATTTACGTAGTTTTGCCCATAATTGCAGTACACACAATTCACCATTAGACCCTTTTCCTATGACCTATTTTGCCTAGAATTTATTCCTCTTAGTCGCCATATTGTAGGACAATATTCCCAGATCCCTTCATTATTCAACCAAGTTCAATTTGTTATACTGGTTACTGATGTAAAGATAACACTGTTTTTCTTATGAATATAATATATGTACATTTGTTAAAGCCTATATTAATCCATGATCATAAGACCGTAAATATTTCCCCCCAAACATTTCATGCATGCATGCATGCTTAAAATTGGTTGCTGAAATATTTGCCCTACAAGATGGCGGCTAAGTGGAATAACTCCTAAGCAAAATATGTCATTGGAAAAGGGTTTATTGGAAGATAGTAAGTTTATTTTATTGTCTGATTGTTAGTGATCTTGTATTTACAGTTGAATATGAAGCGCATGGTCCAAGTCACAAGTGCTAGTGTGGATTAAAGAACTGATTTGAGCCACTCAATCATAAAACTTCAGACTGTGACTTGTACTCACTCTTGTGGCTTTGACAGAAGCCAAGAAACAACACCGATTGAAGTAAACTTCCC